GTGTTCGAGCGTGACGCCGTCCCGTCAGCGCGCCGCAGGACACGTGCGTGACGCGGGACGGGTCGGCCGGCAGGCGCCGTACACACGCTGAGGGCTGATGGCTACCGCTGTCAGCTACTCGGCACGCTGCGCTGCCAGAACTTCACCGTCCACTGCGTGGGTCAGGGCCTGATCGACTGCGACTCGCCCCGCGCCGACCCAGGTCAGTCACCGGCCCGAGGAACGTCCTCGTCGGATGGGTCAGATCCCCCGGGTCACAGACGCCAAGCACCGCCCACTCACCCCGCATACACGTACTCCAACATAAGGCCTTTTGTCTGCTACGTTTGATGCATGGCTAAGATGGAAACTATCCCTTTCGTTTGTACTCCCATTTATTGCAAGATATCCCGCGTTGTCATGGATGCCACGCACACAGCACATCTGGAAATGTGATGCGTAAAATGCGTCATGACAAAAGTCTAACTGTATTCGGCACAATTCCGTGACTTTGCCTAACATCTGAAGTCAAAACAAAGGAGAGTTATGTCGATTAAGTACATCTTGGTGGCAACAGGCGACGGTTTGTTCTTAACTCGTAACCAAACTGTTGGAGGGCCGAGAAAGACTGCCTCATTGTGCTGAAGCGCGCTGGGACAGGCGGCCACCAACCAACGTTACACATCCAGTGCTCCTCGGCGCATTGGACACGGCGTTCCTCTTCCTCCTTCTCTCTCTCTCTCTCTCTCTCCCTCTCTCTGTTGCGTTTCAGAGTCGGTGTCGGCCGTGCTGGCTCTGGTCTCTGCCGAGCCCGAGCTGGCGACCTTGTATCCGGACCTGCACTCGTATCTGGTGTCACTGGCAACGCCCAATGGCACAGAGGCTCCCACCGGCCTCCCCGGCCCGACCTTGAACACCACCCGACCGGCTCCCGGCAGTCCCCAGTCAGGAGGGTTTGATCTCAGTCAGCCCGCGCGACCATCATCAGTGCAAGGTGGACCACCAACAGGAGGGTTTGATCTCAGTCAGCCTGCACGACCATCATCGGTGCAAGGTGGACCACCAACAGGAGGATTTGATCTCAGTCAGCCCGCGCAACCATCGTCAGTGCAAGGTGGACCACCAACAGGAGGGTTTGATCTCAGTCAGCCTGCACGACCATCATCGGTGCAAGGTGGACCACCAACAGGAGGATTTGATCTCAGTCAGCCCGCGCAACCATCATCAGTTCAAGGTGGACCACCAACAGGAGGATTTGATCTCAGTCAGCCCGCGCAACCATCATCAGTGGAAGGTAGACCACCAACAGGAGGGTTTGATCTCAGTCAGCCCGCGCGACCATCATCAGTGCAAGGTAGACCACCAGCAGGAGGGTTTGATCTCAGTCAGCCCGCGCGACCATCATCAGTGCAAGGTGGACCACCAACAGGAGGGTTTGATCCCAGTCAGCCCGCGCAACCATCATCAGTGGAAGGTAGACCACCAACAGGAGGGTTTGATCTCAGTCAGCCCGCGCGACCATCATCAGTGCAAGGTAGACCACCAACAGGAGGGTTTGATCTCAGTCAGCCCGCGCGACCATCATCAGTGCAAGGTAGACCACCAGCAGGAGGGTTTGATCTCAGTCAGCCCGCGCGACCATCATCAGTGCAAGGCAGACCACCTTCAGGAGGGTTTGATCTCAGTCGGCCTGCGCAATCTTCATCAAGACAGGATGGAACACCATCCGGCGGGTTTGATCTCAGCCAGCCCGCTAAATCCACATCGACGCAGAATGGCGCACCATTCGGAGGGTTTGGTCTCAGTCAACCGGCTGAATCCTCATCAATACAGGATGTAAAACCATCAGGAGGGTTTGATCTTAGCAAGCCCGCTAAACCGTCATCAATGAAGGATGAAACGCTATCAGGGGGATTTGATCTCAGTCAGCCTGACAAACCATCATCAGTGCAGGATGGACCCCCAACCGGAGGGCCAGACCGCCACCAAAAGGACAAAGCGTCGAAGTCCACGAGCAAGTCGACAACAAAGGTGAAAATGCCGTCTTCAGCTGGTCCAGGGGTTAATCCAGCCGAGCTCATGACGCCAGTGATGGCGAAAGTTCCTTTTGACACAGACACAAGCAGTTTGAATTCGGGTTTAGCAGGGGAAGAAAGCAAAACCAACAACACTAACATATCCACCATTCAAAGTTCTGAGCGGACTGGACAGGTCGAAACTGGCGACCGTGTGACGCCAACCACCCTCACCACCTCCAGCACTGAAGACACCGCTAAAGAGGCCTATACCAAAGCCTCCAATTCCACCTTATCTCCAGCACTGCCCGGCGGAGAATCAACTGCCGCCTCACCGACCCCGCCGTCCACAACGGCAGTCTCCGGAGGACCGGGACAGCTCATCAGCTTCTCCAAGGTGACGTTCGACACGTCCGACCGATCGGCCGGCAGTGCAGGCAGCCGGCCGGCTACGGCCGCCGCCGCTGCTGCTGGTGACAAGCGGCGGACGCTGGGGCAGCTGCAGCGGCTGCGGCGCCGGCTGGAGCGGGAGGAGGCGGCACCCGGGGGCGGTTCCGACAGCAGCCCGACCGCGGCCGCTCCCACCATGCAGGGTAGGTCAACAAGTGGTGAACAGCACATCCCGCTGTGCGCGACAGGTCGTACGGCAACGGAACGATCCGATGGACCATATTGCGATGTGGATACTATGGCGTTGCACTACCCGATAGGCATACTGCACTACCTGAGCGGTGTACTGCACCCCGAGCGGTGTACTGCACTACCCGAGCGGTGCACTGCACTACCCGAGCGGCGTAGTGGATACTATAGCGTTCCACTACCTGAGCGGTGTACTGCACCCCGAGCGGTGTACTGCACTACCCGAGCGGTGTACTGCACTACCCGAGCGGCGCACGGCACCTCGAGCGGTGTTTTGCACCCCGGCTGCTCGGTATGCCCATGCGGCCAGTGTTAAGTGAATGGAGCAACATGCCGTTGAATCTGACAAACTCCTGAGACGCATACGCGTGCATTCGTTCAGGACTGCGGTGACGTACTGTTTGGTGGATAGCATCGGGAATTCGTACCTTTGCCACTCCGCAGCGCGCTGCCGCTCCGACGCTGTGAAGAGCGGCCCGAGCTTTGCCTCTCTGCTGCGCGTTCTAACGCGCCCGGACGTGTCCGCCTGACCTTGCCGTTCGGGGGCGACTGTCGGCAGCGCTGGAGGACCTGGAGGCAGGGCTGCGGCGGATCGCGGCGCCCGAGGGCAGCTGCATCGTCCACAGGATGGTGTGCTCGGAGCAGCCGCCCCTGGACATGTGCCAGGGTATCTCAGCCGGAGAGTGCACCGGTAGGCGCCGTAGTGCCATCATATACATCCACTGTTGATGAGAACATATTAGCGGATATTTTTGATAAGTGGCTTCCGTGTCCTACAGTGTTGTGGTTCTTCAAAGGGGAGGAGGAGGGGGTAACGTGTAACACGATGACCATATTGAGCGGATGAACTTGGCCACTTGCCTAACAAAATTTAACGCATGAATGACGCGATATATCACACGTATCACCAAAGATAAGTGCTCAGTTTTGCGATCTCAGTTGAGTTCCAAAAAGTAAGAGGGGCACAACTATCTGTTCTGAGTGCTTCACGGTGATCTATCGGCTTGTTTTATTGCGTAAAACTTGCTCCAACGAAACGAGGCACGAATTTTTTAGGGGTCAGTTCTTTTTGCAACGTGGGCACCTTATTGATCAGGTCAGTACATCCAACTCGCGTAAAATAAGAACTACAACCGCTAGATTTCTTGTTGTTTGATCTAAAACGCACTGCTATGATATGTCTTACGCGTCTTTGTCGTTGCCCCTTTTTATGTCCAGCTGTTAATGACGAATGCGAATGGTTTTTTGCCGTTAGCAATCACCACCTAGCGAGCGTTTCTTAACGCTAGCTCGTCGTTCCAGAGAGAAGAGCAGGATCGGCAGCAGGGCTCATGATAGCGATTCTCCTTCCCATCAGCATCACCATATTCGGGATAATCGTTTACCTGCTGTTCTGGAAGTAAGTTTTCCATGGCTGCTGTCGGTGAGCTGGCATTGAGATGGCGTGCGTTGACTTCCGTCGGTTGTTTGCACCCATACCCTCTGTGCCGTGTTTTCTCGTCTCGGGACTGACTCGGCTACAGACTGCCGACGATAGACTGGGTCGGGGCGGCATGGGACCGAGGCCGCCAGGGCACCGAACAGTCAGTCTCAACTACAGCTGTAAATGCAACTCTTCCCTCACACGCGTGAGAGCGGCCAGAATGGGTTTGGCGAGTTCAAATGAAAACCGCCGAGAGTGTGCGTTTCATTGTGTACTTAAGTGCGAGTGCGGGTTACCGCATGGTGACAGTTGAGACAGGTTGGCATTTGGAGAAGGATTGTAACTGAACCAGAGGGAGAGACGAAGCACGGCGTGACGGATGGGATAAAGTGACGGTGGTAACGACATCACGGTTTGGGCCAGCGGCGTAGCTTCGCGAAACGAACCGGGGAGGCAAGCCGAGGGAACGGGAGATTCAAAAGAGTTTTCGTCCCCCATTCTGACTGAAAAGGACTCTACGCTCCTGGTTTGGGCAGTGTCGCATTCTGGGCTTGATTGCAGTGAATCCAGGGTAACGCCTGAGCCACCGCTTCGGCTGGAACATCCTGACAGTCGGAACGGGGCGGTAGTTATTCCCATATGACAGCCGCAGCAGAGGATAGCCGGTCCGCAGTGAGGTCCGTCTGATTGTGTCGGCCGGTCCGCAGTGAGGTAGTGAGGTCCGTGTGAGTGTGCCGGCCGGTCCGCAGTGAGGTCCGTGTGAGTGTGCCGGCCGGTCCGCAGTGAAGCCCGTGTGAGTGTGCCGGCCGGTCCGCAGTGAGGTCCGTGTGAGTGTGCCGGCCGGTCCGCAGTGAGGTCCGTGTGAGTGTGCCGGCCGGTCCGCAGTGAGGCCCGTGTGAGTGTGCCGGCCGGTCCGCAGTGAGGCCCGTGTGAGTGTGCCGGCCGGTCCGCAGTGAGGCCCGTGTGAGTGTGCCGGCCGGTCCGCAGTGAGGCCCGTGTGAGTGTGCCGGCCGGTCCGCAGTGAGGCCCGTGTGAGTGTGCCGGCCGGTCCGCAGTGAGGCCCGTGTGAGTGTGCCGGCCGGTCCGCAGTGAGGCCCGTGTGAGTGTGCCGGCCGGTCCGCAGTGAGGTCCGTGTGAGTGTGCCGGCCGGTCCGCAGTGAGGCCCGTGTGAGTGTGCCGGCCGGTCCGCAGTGAGGCCCGTGTGAGTGTGCCGGCCGGTCCGCAGTGAGGTCCGTGTGAGTGTGCCGGCCGGTCCGCAGTGAGGTCCGTGTGAGTGTGTCGGCCGGTCCGCAGTGAGGCCCGTGTGAGTGTGCCGGCCGGTCCGCAGTGAGGTCCGTGTGAGTGTGTCGGCCGGTCCGCAGTGAGGTCCGTGTGAGTGTGCCGGCCGGTCCGCAGTGAGGCCCGTGTGAGTGTGCCGGCCGGTCCGCAGTGAGGCCCGTGTGGGTGTGCCGGCCGGTCCGCAGTGAGGCCCGTGTGGGTGTGCCGGCCGGTCCCCCATGCAGAGCGTGTCCGTGTGACGGCCGGCGCCGGTCGGCAGGCGGAATGGTAACCAGGTGGACGCCGAGCGCCCGGGCGTGCCGCGCGCCGCCACGAAGGTGGCCGAGTCGAGCGGCAGCCAGCTGGGCGGCCGGGAGCGCGTGCCGGGCGCCGTGCTGCTGCGCCGGCAGTCCACCGGCCGGCAGACGTCACCGGGCCAGCAGCCGTCGCCGAGTCGCCCGGCCGCCGAGCCGTGGTGAGCCGCCGCCGCCGCCGCCGCCGGCGCAGACCGGACGGTGTTCAGATTACCCTCGGTGGAGCCGTCCCTCGGCGGCACCCGGCGCCGTCAACATTGCGGCGAGTAAGCCACCAACGAATACTGTGCGCGTTACGTTCGGTCGGTCTTGCATCTCACACACCTGCTCCTCAACAACTTAAAAAAACACCTTCTGCCAATCAATGCATACTCGTACATAATAATTGCCTGTTGATTGTGGAACGGGTTGGTTGTTGTTTGTAGTTATTGAACGCATAACCACACTGTCCGACACCCGCAACTATTTATGAACCCCCAGGACGCCTTTCGCGGTGTTAACCGAACTGAAAACTGCTATGAGCTAGCATCATGCATATGTAGCTAAAACTGAACTGAATGGTGCCGGATATCTTTGCTAACCCATGTAGGTGTTGCCACTGCAATAACGTCCCTCCTTTGTAAGTTCAGCAGGCATTGGCGCACCAATCTTCAATTTGCGGAACACACTTACAAAACAACGTTGTTTGGATTCCGTCCTGCTTTTTTTCTGAGGCTAGGCGACCATACTCTTCGTAATCGCGAAGTTCATTCAATGGCGCCTGTAAACCCTCGTAGTGCACTGCGGTAGTTTAGGGGTGAGGCCCCACACACGGAGGACCGCTCATTGTACAGGACTGAAGCCCATTTATTGACGTTACTTGGGTTGTATCGGATGGTTTAGCCATTATGATCGCCACGGGCTGTTGGGTGTAATGGTCGTCGTCACGCCGGGCGCGTCTGTCTGTCGCATGTCTGTCCCGCCCACATGGCGCGCCGTCAGCGCTTCTCTCTGACTTAAGTTCGGTGTGAGAACTGTTAAAAGGGGTCGGGCGTACAGAACAAGTATTGAGCTAAATGTATCGGAATTGACGTTATACTCGGCTGCTTCATGTCGCGTTTCCATGTTTCCGGCGCTCTCAGCGTCGTAAGTTACCCACAGTTTTGATCGTATCGCGGACCAAGATGAATGCGAACAGTACTGCCTTACTGTCATTATCGCAGAGTGCTGACCCATGACGCTATGCCAGAAAACAGCGCGCACATGGCATATGTTTCCAAAGGTTTGCTAGAGGCTGAAGCAGCTTTCTGTTCGATTTAGGCAATATCCACTGATAAGTTGTGCCTAGTCCCTTCCGTCGCCTGTCAACGTGAGGTAAACGAATGCTGCGAATTACTAGCACGCCCGTGTCAGGTAACCCAAATTTGACAGCTGATTCTCAAAGTTCACCATTCCCATGTTGCCTGCCATGTTTCCCTGAAAGCGCAACGTCACTCTCACGCAACTGTCTGTGGAAACCGTCGCAGCCTCCCTCCCGGACGTTCGCCAAGTGCGGAAATGCCAAACTGGTGACGGTCGGATGCTGCTCCCCTCCCGTCGGCCGACCGAGACTCAGACGCGCAGTGAATGCTGCAACGGAGTGGTAATGATCTCATGCTCACATCATTGCAGTTCTCAACCAGTGTGCGGTTTTTGTGGTGTAATAAATTCGTAGCAATGTCTGAATGTTCCTATCAATGCGCAGCGCGGCCAATGACGTCAGATCACGCAGGGACTTCCATTGGTGAACCCACCATTGGGATTGGGGCGACGCCGACAGAACCATTCGCGTCATGACAGTAAGGGACTGATTGGTAGGCCGATTTGAGACCGATTATGGGAACATGACCGCCACCACTTCGAATAACGTAACGCAAAGCCGCAGTGGATGTCATCCATGTTTATTCACCACAGAAGACGGTCTTGACACTCGGCGCCTACGAAGATGGCATGTCCACACACGGCGCCCGGTCCGATGCAGCTCGACGGAGGTCGACGCCGCGACCATACCGATGGGCGCGCACCGCCCCCGGCGCAGGGTCACGTGACGCGACACCATCCGGCGGAGCACACGAGTCAGCGGACGCCCTTCCACCGCGACGTCACCCGAGTTCCTGAGTCACTGGAGCTCCGACTACAGTCAGCAGAGCCCCCGGTGCTCCTCCCGGCGACGGCTCGTCGCTGGAGCTGGTGACGTCGCCACAGCGCTGCCGGCGTGGGACGACTCCAGGCCATCCTGGTGTTGACGCATGGTCGGCGCGCCATGGTGACGGCTCGTCGCTGGAGCTGGTGATGTCGCCGCAGCGCTGCCGGCGTGGGACAACTCCAGGCCATCCTGGCGTTGACGCATGGTCGGCGCGCCACGGTGACGGCTCGCCGCTGGAGCTGGGGATGTCGCCGCAGCGCTGCCGGCGTGGGACGACTCCAGACCATCCTGGTGTTGACGCATGGTCGGCGCGCCACGGTGACGGCTCGTCGCTGGAGCTGGTGATGTCGCCGCAGCGCTGCCGGCGTGGGACGACTCCAGGCCATCCTGGTATTGACGCATGGTCGGCGCGCCAGGGCGCCACCCCGCTCCCGGACGCATACACGAACAACGTCCAGCTATCAACTGATGAATGAACCGACCAAAAGCGTCACGCACTACGCGCGAGCCGCCGCCAGCCGACGTCGAGGTCAGCGAACAAACGCGACCGCGAGTCCCGGCTCCACCAGAGGGGGCGGCGTGCAGCTGTGCTGGGGATCCTCGAGGAACCCTCGGCGGTATTGACTGGACACAGCCGCGCCGTTCGTGACCAGCTGACCGCCGCCGGTGCTGGACACTTTCCAAGCGCGTGGTGCCCGTTTACGGGGCTTCAGTCCGTAGCGACGGCAAGGGCAAAGAAGGGACCCCAAGCAGTGCGGACAGACAGATGAATACACGATAAACAGCCACGCACACGTTTCTTCAGCAACACTGCCGATGACAAGAAACATATGCGCCTGCTGGCAAATATTCTGCACTCCTCTTCGTACAAACAGACACACAACATGCGCGCATAAGCACACACACACACACACACACACACACACAAACACACACACACACAAACACGCCCGTCAGCAACCACGGCACGTGACCAGCTGAGTGGCGCTGACGCCGGGCCGGCAGCACAGGCTGCTGGTCTACGGCCCACGGTCGACTAGTCCGAATGTGAGCCGCTGCCACTGCCGCTGCTGCTGCTCGAGCTACTGGATGCCGAGTGGGAGCGGCGGGGCGCCGCCGGCCGGGAGGCGCGCGTGGCACCGCGGCCGGCCCGCTCCGCCGGAGACCTGTCCCGGCGCCGGCCGCTGCCGGTCTCGCGGCGTCGCTCCGTGCTGGCATGTCTGCTCTCCTGGCGGGCTTCCCTGCCCTGGCGCCGGCCGCCCGTCTTCGCCGGTCGCCTATCCTCGCGCCGGTCGGGCCGCCGGCCGTCCGACGAGCCGCCGCGCCGCCGCCGCGCCGCGTCGCCGCCCTTGCCTTCGCGGCCACCGCTCGTCGCTCGCGCCTCTCGGCCGTCCCGGCGGCCGCCCGACTTGTCCGCGGCACCCGGCTCCTTCTTCGCCACCGGCGCCGCTTCTGCCTCGTCGGTGGCGACCGTCGCTGCCAACTCCGACTGCGAGCCGGGCGAGTCGCCGGCGCCGGCCGGAAGCGCCCCTTTGTCCGTCGGCTCAGCGTTGTCGGCGGTGACGGCCGCCGCCGCCGCCGCCGGTTCGTCAGCGCCGACGGTCGACTGGGCCTCGTCGCCGGGCGCTGCCGGCTCGGCGGCAACCGCACCTTCAGCTGTCGGCTCGGGGGTAGGACTTCTGGCCGAGCGGCGGCGCGCCGGCTCCGGGCCGACCCGCCGGCCGCCGGAACCTTCCTTCTGACCGCGGTGGCCGTCTGCCTCTGTCGTCTCAGCGCCATCTGCCTCTTCCATCCGCTCCGCACGGCCGTCCTCCATCGGTTCGTCTCGGTGTTCCTCTGACTCGGAGTGACCGCCGTTGTCCTCCTTCTCAGGGTCCGGAGAACGCTCCCCTTTTTCCGACTTCGGGCGTCGACCCACATCCTGTCTTTGCTTAGGTCGACTATCCTCCTCCATGTCTTCCTCAAGCTCAGGACGACCATCCTCGTGCTCAGGAGGGTTCTCGTCGTCCTGCCGCTGCGAGGTCTGCTGTTCGGCGCCGGCTCCGCGGGGCACAACCACGGAGCTGACAACGCCGGCGGTGGCACTCTCCTCATCCTCGTCCTCGTCCTCCTGATCGTCATCTGGGACACACGGCGGACGGGCATCACTCACCGGCTGGACGCCGTCACGCAAAGTCCGAGCGCCGACACCGGCATACGGTCAACGCGACAGCACAACTGCAGCCAGTTCACGCAAACGAGGCTTATTGCCAGTCTCCCGCCTTCCAACCACCACTAATAATTCGTGTCAACGGACGAAAGAAATCCCAAAAACTGGGAGCAGCAGGCGTGGCTCATAGTCTGCGACGTCGGCCGCATGACTAGTCGCCTCTGCCCACGCGAAGTGTTAAAACGAACAGGAGATACCAGCGGCTGGCAGCGACTGAGCGTGGGCGCGCGGCCCGGCAGGAGCCGCTGCGGCGCGGTCCACTCACCGTAATGGTCGCCGCCGCCGTCCGGCGCGGCGGCGGCGGCGGCGCCCGGGTCCTGCAGCCGGTGCAGTCGAGCGTCAAACAGCGCCAGGTCGTCCTGCAGCTTGCGGCGGCGCTCCTCAATCGATTCTGGACGGCAGAGGATGACGTCACCGGGGGCGTCCCATCAGCTGTCAGTCCGCGGTCAGCTGAACAACCGGCTCCGCTCACTCGCGTCATCATTCAGCGGCGGAGCCACGTCTCCTAGCCACCTTTTCATACTCGATCTCCGACACGGTGTGTTAATATTACATGAATCAAATCACTGCGCGGCCGCCAGCGACCCGATCTTGTCTGTGGGCTTGGAGACGCCAAGTGAAAAAGATCGACATCAAGCATACAGCAACCTCCACACAACACTTCTCCGCGAGAGCCTGAACAGAACGGATAATTTCGGCAACTGACAGACTACTGGCAGCCTGCCTTCCCCGCCCAACACCCGACTGCCGCACAAAACAACAGGTGACGCCAGCACCCGTGTTTGAGGCCCCAACGCGGCAGCGTCGACGGCAATGCGCCGTCACGATCAGCTGCGGCCACCACAGCCGTGCAGCACTCACTGGCCAGCTCCTTCTGTGTGCGCACCAGAAGCGCGTCTGAGTTCGGGTGCGGCAGCTTTGGCAGGAAGAAGATGTTCGGGCCCTTGCCCGACGTGCGGATGAAGTTCATCAGCCGCTTGTGATGGTTTTCCCAGCCTTCCTCCTGGTGACGCTCGATCAAGTCAGCTCCAATCATCAGCAGCGGACGCTTGTGCCCATGACCAGCAGCCAGCGCCGAGGTCCGTACAACACCTCAGCGGTCCCGGGGTCAGAGGGTGTGTGATCCTCGGTTCAGGCGTCACCATTCCCATACTAGTCAGGAGCCGTGAATGCAGATTGGTGCACCACACACTGGTGTTGACTTCCGGGCCTCGCGAGAATGCACAGCACTCTGTCACGAAATGAACATGCGCGGTGCTACACCGTACACTGTTGCTGCCCATCTCGAATTCAAGAAAAGTACAAAAGGCCGCAAAAATCATATAATCGTTAATTTTGCAACATAATGTATTTCATTCCGCACCATGTAGTACCAAGGTACAGGATCATAACCGGTCTGATATCGATAAATGCCCAATGCTCCGTGACAACACAAGACACTGATCCACGGCTCGTCGGCGGGCACAGCTCCTCTGCCGCTGTCGGCACCCTCACCTCCTTGACGCGGGCCATCTTCAGCTCGATGAGCCGCACCTCTTGCTGCTTGCGCTTCCGCTCTGCGAACATGTCCGAGCGCTGCTGGCGTAGCTGGGCTTTCTCTCGCCGGGCGGCGTCCTCCAGGCGCCGCTCGATCTCGGCCCGCTTCTCCACCTGGCCGACACAGCGAAAACAGCATGCAGGCGCCCCTCCAACGCAACAGAGCTTCCCCATCACCTACACCATGGGCAATTGACAGGCGTTCGGCAAACTGAAGTGAAGTGAAGTGAAAACTGAACTGAAGACATACATCCCAGCGAAGCCCCCTTAGCGCGGTTCCATAACAAACCATCTACAACAGAGCCTACTCCGCGCATCTGGACAGACGGCACCGCCTCGCCGTACCGGCCCTGCTCCGTCTCGGGTCCGCCCCGACCCCGCAGCCAGAGTTCACACTCCGAGCGTCTCACCTTGTCCTTCTGCTTGACCTCGTCGCGTCGGAAGCGCTGCAGTGTGCCGAGCAGGGCGCCGAACATGCGCCGGCTCCTGGGGACACAGCCGGGTCCGGCGGCCGTGTCATACTCCGGCCAACGGCGGCCGCGTCACACCCAGCCAACGGCGGCCGCGTCACACCCGGCCAACGGCGGCCGTGTCACACCCGGCCAACGGCGGCCGTGTCACACCCGGCCAACGGCGGCCGTGTCACACCCAGCCAACGGCGGCCGTGTCACACCCAGCCAACGGCGGCCGCGTCACACCCAGCCAACGGCGGCCGCGTCACACCCGGCCAACGGCGGCCGCGTCACACCCAGCCAACGGCGGCCGTGTCACACCCGGCCAACGGCGGCCGTGTCACACCCGGCCAACGGCGGCCGTGTCACACTCCGGCCAACGGCGGCCGTGTCATACTCCGGCCAACGGCGGCCGCGTCACACCCAGCCAACGGCGGCCGCGTCACACCCAGCCAACGGCGGCCGCGTCACACCCGGCCAACGGCGGCCGCGTCACACCCGGCCAACGGCGGCCGCGTCACACCCGGCCAACGGCGGCCGTGTCACACTCGGCCAACGGCGGCCGTGTCATACTCCGGCCAACGGCGGCGTCACCCGGCGCCAGCGCCAACAGACAGCAGGCGCTACAGGCTTTAAAACGGATATTGTGCAGAGTTTAACGTCGGTTTCCTGATATGGCTGTCAGTTTGATTGATTTTTAGTTTCGATTCGAATCCCCTTAACACAGTTCCTCCATCCGCTTTCACACAGTACCAGTGTTCATCGCTTTTCCATTACGGATGCAGGCCACCTGTTTCATATTTCTGATAACTGCCTCGAGGCAGTTCTGGGACATAGAAATACTTTTACCTACCATGAAATTTGAAATTTTGCGTCCTGAAACCGTACAAAACCTTGTGCTCACCTTTTCTTGACTACAAATGCATTGGGGTAACGCAAAAAATAATATGCTGGACTTAGGGTACCGCGCTTCCAGATTTTCATTGATGATATGGCCCACTTGTTAAATCAATTGATTGCACGACAAATGAGCCCCACGTGCCACCTGGCCCAGCAGTGCGGCACCGGAGCTCCTTCCTGACCCGTACTGCAGCGGCACTCCAGCCACCATCTGAACCAGTATCCAGCCCCAGCCGGCCCGTACTGCAGCAGCACCCCATCCACCAGCTGAACCAGTACCCAGCCCCCAGCCGGCCCGTACTGCAGCGGCGCTCCAGCTGCCCTGATCGGTGACAGGAGCAGCCTCAGCTGAGCAGAGGCGTGCGGCGACTCTCACCTGCCGATGTTCTCCTTGTCGGACTTGCGCTCCTGCAGCGCCGCCTGGCGGGAGCGGCCGTCGTCGGCCGGGTCGGGCGGCTCGCGCGCGCCGGCCGGTCGTGGCCCGGGGATCACGTGCGATGGCACGGACGGCTGCCGGGCCACGGCACACTGTCAGCACGGGCCGGCCCGCGGACAGCCGGCGGGGAGGGGCACGTCCGGGCGCGGCGAGGCGGGAGCCGCCACACAGGCGGGGCGGCAAGCTGACTGACCACGGCCACCGACGCCAGATCGCACCAAACGCAGCCGGCCGGCCCGAGCCCCTCGTGACATTGTTGCCAGTATGTCCGTCGTCGGTGTGAGTTGTTGATGGCAGTAAATTGTCATGCTGCCATGTCGAATGATGTAATATTTGGCTCTTGCGAGACAAATCATCAATTCTCCAAGACTTTGGAATGAACTGCGGTTAAGGTTCTCTGCCTGGCCAGAACCAACCCGCGCGAAACAATTTTATAGTAGGAAATAACACGAGTTAACGTTTATTTCGACGCCTTTCCATGTTCGCATACTGTTGGCAGGCGCCCACTGGCCGGTCCAGCCGCGACCTGGACTCACCCTGGGCTCCGGCTCCTCATCACTGACACTTGCCCTCTTCAGTCGGGGCCCGATGACCTTGATGCCGATCCTGAGGGTACGTGAGCGTGATCAGCTGAGCAGTACCACCGCTTACGGCGGCGGCCCGATCAGATTTACAAGTGAGTAAAACTTTGATGACTGGTGGGGAGGACAGAAACTAGCTACCGGCTTCACAAACGATCAAAACAATAAAACAAGTGCTCTAACATCGCTAAAACTTACAAGCCAGAATGCCCGGTCTTCACAAGACCCTGTGAGGGCCTGAGTCTGCTGTACTCACCTGCCATTGGCTTCCTCTGTAATGCGCCGTTTAGCTGGAGGTCCTATCTCATCCCCTCTGGGAGGATCTCCATCAAATCTGTCCCGGCGACGGCTGAAATCACACTCAGCACCATTAGACAATTACATCAGCTCTATGTAGCTGCATGCTACACTGATCGTAGATTTACAAGTGAGTAAAAGTTAGGTGAAGTACCACAGGATTACTTGAGTAACCCAGGAACAAAGACAGTTCAAGTTTTTGCCGTTCATTGAGCAGTGACAGTGGTGTCCAGCTGGGTACTTTCACAAGCCCAAAACTCGGCCAGCACTCACCCGCGGCCATCCGAGAAAGGCCTGCCACCAAAATCGCCGCGGCCGTCTGTGAACGGCCTCCCGCCAAACTCGCCGCGACCCTCCGGGAAGTGCCGGCCTCTGAGCTCGCCGCGGCCGTCCGGCAGCGGTCTACCGCCCGGCTCGCCGCGGGAGTCCGGATACGGCCGGCCGACGAGGCTCGCCGCGGCCCTCGGCGAACAGCCTGCCACTGCTCTCATCGGCCGGCCGGGTCCCGGGCGCCGAGATTCTCCGTCGGATCGGCCTGGGACGCGACACGGCAGGTGTCCGCTGCAGTCTCGCACGCGCGGCCAACCACTACATCGCAAATCCACCGACACAGCTCCAGTGGTACAAATGCTGGTGCATGGTTGTTGACAAGCTATAAATGGCCATTTAATATCAGTACAATATTCTGTTTATGAAAAACATCAAACTGACCAAAGCAGACATACAGCTGAGAGAAATAGATTATGTTCAACCAACCCTAAAAACATAACACCAGCAATGGGAGGCATTCTTTAAACAATGCCAGCCTTACAAGCTGATTGATCAATATGAAAAATTAACATTTTTACCTTGGTTCTGTTGGGTCTCTGCCCAGAAATTTTTGCAAGGTCTCATGCACTCCCTTAAGATTTGTCTTTGCCCTGTCCAACTCTTCCTGCAGGGCTGTGCCGAGCTGCTCAGTGGATGTCATCTTGGTAATGTTTGTGGAATTCTCAAGCCTTGCTCAACTGAAAACAGGCATACCTCTTTAGAAATGACAAAGAGGGTAGAGCTTCCTTATTCCCTACCACAGCAGCATGGTTCCAAAGAACCTGTGCTAGGTTTGGTTATCTTGCTTACAACTGACATGCAAGACATATTGAGATATTCCACATTAAGTGCTCAGCATCACAGCCAACTGCTTAGCATCACCAGATCTGATCACTGATCATCACCTTAGCCAACTGCTTAGCATCACAGATGAAGCTGGAAAATTTCCATGACCAGCACAGATTTACAAAACCAATTTGTTTTTGTTGTAAGTGATGTATATGTTGAAAATCACCAAACATTTTCACTTTATCACTATGGAAGCTGATACCTGCCTGCCACTTAATGCTGCTGGCACTAACTCCTGATTCTCTTGGATGGAGGCTGTATGGAGATTGGCATCACAATTATGATGAAGGGCTTAAAGTACTCATCCAGAACTGCTCTGTGGTTGGATTTTTGGCCACTTTCTGGTATCAGAGTACAAAAATGTTATGGCAGCTGAGGATTTAAATCAAATCAAATTTGTCACTTAAGGATGTGAAATTAGAGCCAGTATTTCAGGCTTTACAAGAATATACTTTTAAGTCAAAATACATTGCTATAAATAACCTATATATACATATATAAATATTACATAAATAAATCAACAAAAACTGCTGGGAGACAGCCACCTCACACTGGCAGACGCCAGGACACCAGAGGAACACGAGCCCATAACTTTGGCCTAGCAAGTTAAGGAGAAGGGTTTAGTGGGACAAAAACATCAGTGGATCATCACCACATTGGGACAACCATCAGCAACATAAATTATCATATTTTGCAATGATTCAGGTTAAAGGGCATCAAAACCCACACATCTATTCTATTCATTTGCTGGAGTTGGTGGAGTGACTGACTCCAGTCCCTTTTGGCCAGCCTGGATGGGTCTGATAGGCATTGTATTTGTGCTGGTTTGGTTTGGTTGAGTGGTGCCTGTCTCTATTATTCTGCTGGGACAAGCCTTGTGTGTTATCTAGGAGGTGGAGGGCATAAATGTTTAGCCATTTTTAAAACTGGTTAGCTGGTGCAGCAGTGAGTAGCATGATCATGGTAGAGAATAAGTAGATAGCCATCTGTCATGATTCATTTCTATTTTTGTGTACCCTTTTTCTCTGGCTGTGTGTATCATAGCCACCCCCCATGTTGGAAGGTGATTAAGCCCAGTGTGCAGCCATCCTTCATTTTGGAAGGTGTATAAGCCAGGTGCATAGCCACCCACCCTTTTGGAGGGTGAATATGCACAGCCTTTCATAAATTGCAAACCCATATATACGCACCTGTGCTTCATCGTACAGAGTCTGAGACCGTCTTGTTTCAGTCATGTTCAATACTGATGTTTCCTTTCAACTAGTGTGCCTACATGAAGTGCTGTGCATGAAAAGTTTCGCTTATGTCTCAAAGATAAGCTAAATAAAACCGTACTGGCCCACGGCACTTGGATATTTTTCCGCGCTCAACTATAGAAAATTTGTACTCCGCTACCAGGAACACTTTTCGACTTTCCAACACTGATCCTCAGAGACCCTCGTCTCAGGACATCAACTTCGGGAATATTTCAGAACAACCGCTACGCACCTGCGCCGCATTTTACTTACCGTATATGTACTAACTAGTAATTACGTATCCGCAACCGAAGCCGCGCAGAAACCGCAGAGACATCACCGTCCACGCGTCGCTACCGTCTGACGGCGAACACGGCGCAAGGCATCCATCGGATTCCGTACAGGCGGTGAAGGATTTGGCAGCCATGCGTGCTCACTGGATAAAAAAGATGTTACTTTCCCTTCGTACTTACAAGCGCGGAAGCATGCCGAGACCGCTATCTCCTGATCTCGCTCATGCAAGTATGCGGAATTTTCTTCGGGACGGAGGGAGGGTCCACAACGTTAAGTTTCTCCACAAGGCTGCGGATTTGGACTGAATTCCTGCAAATCGTCCAGCATTTGGTGTCAATTCACTGGTGTGGAAACACGACCCCCGCGCCTCCCCCCTCTGCCGCGTACCTGACCTCACTGGTCCATCAACATCGCAAGCTGTTTTGAGATAGCGCCTCCAGCATTTTGCCTACCTGACTTCCCTGATAGCCCCACCGATTACCGCCTCAAAGCACTACGTGCCAAGTTCTCGTCCACCTTCCTCGCGCCGCCCCGACTTTTCTCTCTCGTCTGAGCACTGGTCGGGTGGCGGTAAATGCCGCAGGTCCGGGGACCGTGCATCATCTAGCCGCCGGCCGCGCCATCGAACAGGTTTACGGTGTGGAATATGTCGCGAGGCATTTGGAAGACTGCCCGCTGGGACGGCTCGCTGCCGTCCAGCATGCATGGCTCGCTGCCTGCACGTCACGTATGGACTGAAAGGTTCGTAGATTTCGTACACCTCCAGCTGCCTATCGCTTACACCGAACACATCACAAGCCACGAGTACGTCACCTTGATATATTGACACATGAAAAACAACCAACCAAAGCTTCGTTGACAATGAGGTTTCTGACGCCGTCGCACAGTGCCACTGCGCCGAGCACACACCACATTTGTCTCCTGCGAGCGTTAACACACAACGGATGAGTGACGTCACACTGTCGAAGTCACGGCGCCAGGCTAGCGACTGGAACGCATCGTCGCACTACGATGCACCTGGGGCATCTGTCGCGGAAGGCATGAAGAGACACGACAGTGGCGCAGGGCCATCCAAATGACGACGCCCGCGTTCGGCACGAGGCACTAGGCACGATTCCACAGCCATGCTATGTTGGCGCTCCACAATTCGTAATGCAACTGTACAAGGCATCGCAAGGCACGGAAAACGCGACGGGAAACAAGACACGGCTGTCTGGCGACTCCATCCGAACCCATCCATCTGCTAACATTTGAGCAAAACAGTTGATGTCTCACACTTCGCGCACTTGTACACAAGACAGCCTGTACAGATGGAATGTCAAGCGTTCGTCACAATGGCCAGGCGAATTTCAGAGCACGCGTGACGCATGAGTAACGCACTGCCTGCATTTCGCGGAACGTCCATTTCTCGGTTTGGAGCGCTCCTTGAACGTGCGACGCACCTGCAATGCCCTCGAACACCCCTGGCTTGAGACGCTGCGTAACGCCGTTGCCGCCATTACGCAGCGTGATTCGTGACGTAACACATGCCAATAGGAGCCCGCGATACCATGCTCCCGATTCACACAAGTACCAAAAACATCAGTATTCACAAGTACCAAAAACGCCAAATCATGAAAAACGGCCAAATAATGTAGAAGACCAGCGAGTGAGAAACAACTTCTATTTTTTTTTTTTCGTCACCGAGGTAGTTTTCGACAACTGACACTCCTAGTAGTGCTCTATATAAAGCCCCCTCCCCCGCAACGTTAGTCAAGGCGCTTGTGCCTGTTTAACATTCAACACCGTCAAGCCAACGGACAAACTACGGCACACTCATGTACAGCTATACCGACGTGTCGATACAGCATATGAAGTCAAGAAACTTCTTGGTCCAAAAACAGCAAAAAAGAGCAGGCCACTATTTGATACACATGTCCAGCAAAAAGCTGCGACACTCCTAAAATGCAATAAGACACGGAAGTACGCCCAACCCTTTCACGACAGCGTCTAAATACATTGTCTTTCCTCACATTCGTCATCCAGTTCCCAGTCTCTTGCGTGACATTAAGTAGCATTCGTGCCAGAACAGCCTCCAGCGCGCAGCGCAGTCGGCCAGTTTCGATCAAATGCAGCGCGCCCTTCGGTCGCCGATCGCCTCAGGGACGCAGCCCTGGACGTAGCCTCGGACCGCATACCGCGGGATCTTCGTGCCTGGCTAACCCACCGCCACCGCCGCCCGCTCCAGGCAGCACGGCGACATGCCGGATCCAGCCTCGCCCGCGCCTACGAAACCGACAGCGAGCTGGCGACGTTACCGAACGAGTAGTAGACGTCATAGTTACCGATGGAACTGGTGAGGTTGACCCGTGGGGGCGGCTGCAGCGAGCCGGCTACCGGGGCCGGCGGCGGCGATGGCGGCGGCGGCGGCGGCGGCGAGGTGACGGTGGCTTCCACCACCTGCTGCAGCACGTCCGAGGGCGGTCGCAGCGGCGGCGGTGGCGAGCCGGCCGGCTGGCCACCGCCGCCGCCGCCGCCGCCGCCGCCGCCGTCCACGTTGCACATGTACTCCACCTGACCGGTGGCATCGCGCACCACCACGTCCACCACCGAGAAGCCCGTCTTGCTGGGGCTCTGCGGCCCCGGCGAGCCGGCCAGCAGTCTGCGGCGCGGTGGGCGGTGTCAGTGGCGCTGTCGCCACGCACCCGGCACCAAGCCACAGCTCCAGACTACGCCCAAAATGAATTTTTTAAATACGTGATCGAAGCGTGTCGATGCCAAAGATGCCTTCGAAAAGTCGTAGCCTTCTGTTTAGTAAATTGTGGTACATTCCTGGTTAAGCCTAAGGGTGCATTGCCAAGGCTCTATTCAGAACAAAAGAAAAACATGAACATGGCCTGTACATGACAACAACGCCCACATACCCATTCCTAAAAAGAAAAACGAAGTAACGTCTAAAACAGCTTCGTGATGACACATTGAAACAATCGAAACTCTGTGGAAAAACCTACACGAATGGTATCTAAGCAAATTGCGAACATTTTTTCAAGTAATCCAAGCAAGTCTTATAAATGCTACATATGCAATTCATAGTTCTGAAATCATGGACAACTGTATGCTTCAAACAATCAAAACGTTATTAAAAATACGCAACGATACGTCTAAAATAACCAAAATGTCGGAAAGAAGGCAACAGATGGACAACGTCGTCGGGTGGCCAGCCGTCGCCGGAGCCCGCCTCGGCAGGCCGTGGCGTGTCCCTACGCCAGGACTGACCTGCGCTTTCTGGAGCGCTCCTCGTGGTGCGAGCGCTCCAACAGCTTGCGGTGCTCGTCATCCGAGAGGATGACGATGTTGCCCGTCTGCGTCAGCCGCTGTCCGTGCTTCGACTCCAGGTGACGCCGGTACGAGTTCTTGGCTTTAAAGCTGGAACGAGCGAAAATAATATAAAATCATTCTTGCAACCAAACTTGTTCCATTTGTAAGCAACGAACAAGACAATGGAACATGTTGGAAGCAACACATTAAGACTTTTTACTTCGGACAGGCGAAACAAACCAGCCTTCCCATTCACAGTCGCACTGAATTCGAAACAAAGGAGGACGGGGGGGGGGGGAGGGGCTTTCTCCGGGCCCAATACAAATAAAGCAATGCATGAAACGTTCATGCATAGCTGGGCTAAGACAGAGCAGGATTTACCATTCAGCCTTTTTAATAGTCTTTTCAGGTTCAGTCACCCACAAAGACACCGCTGTCTGCAAGAGTTATTGAAAGACAACCAAAGAAGTTTCCTAATTTCATTTTTACTGGAACGAGCACACACTTATCGGCACAGCAAGCTTTTCGGCCCATCAAACCCCAAAAGATGCAACGTTGACCTCATAGCGAGCTTGACCAAGTTAAGGTGCAATATATTCCATTTGAGACAGGCTGTGGGAATCTATATGTATAAAACAGGAGCTTCCCTTACGGCTACGTTTAACGGGGAAAAATGTCAAAATATCAGAACTTTGATATCGTATTTGACAACCCTTTGACAAAACTTCTACAAATTTGACATTTGACACAAAATGTCAAAACCGTCAAACCCTCATAAAATTGTTAAAACGTTAATGGAAATTTTGAAACAGAAAGCAAATGAAATAAGTCTGGCACCATTTCCCACGCCCTCCCCCTTTCCCCCAAAAAACTGTTCGATACGCCCGATCTCTAAAACATTGAGATTAAGATAATGGCGCAATGGACGGGCAGCCTAGCCAGCCAACAAGGCGCAGCGGCCGTTGCCGGCGCGACTTACCCCTGTCCGCACTCGGAGCAGACGTACGGCGTCTCGCCGGTGTGGCGCCGCAGGTGCTCTGTGAAGTGCGACTTGTGTCGGAACTCGTGGCCGCAGCTGTCGCAGCGAAACCGCGTCTTGTGCGCGTGGATCAGCATGTGGTAGTCCAGCGACATCTTCCTCGTGAACGACTTCTGGCACAGATCGCACGTGAACTCTTTGATACCTGTGACGCAGGGAGACGCGAGGTTATTCCTGCGACGCGGAGAGACCCGAGATACCCCTGTAACGCGGAGAGACGCAAGGCTATCCAGGTGTCAGTACGCATCGTGAGTGTAAATGCCGACGGTCAGGCCGCGAACGTTTATCACAAGCTGTTTTTCATAGAACACAACGCGACTGTCCGCAAGGGTCTCTAGCGCCGACTAGTGCAACATGGACATTCAACCTAGCAGCTCGGTCGCGCAGGTGGGCCACTTTACCCTGAACCAACATGCTTTGATAGCACTCAAGTATGTCGGAGAGCCATATACGCTTCACACATGTTACGCATCAACAACGATGACACACGAGCGGCATCGTCTTATCGTTGCACGCGGCTGAGGGCATCGGTGATCCGTTCCCACCAGGTAGATATCTGCTGATGCCGCGTGTAATCAATTACCACGAGCAGTTATTCCCGGTGACATATCCACACAGGCAACGGGTGCTGAACCGACCAGCAGGCGGGGTCTCGATACCACACGGAATGAGCATACTCGCGGTTCGGCGGCCGCTACGGCCCCTTACCCAGGTGGCTCTTGTAGTGCGACTGGAGCGAGGAGAGCGCCGTAAACCGCTGCGGCGGGTAGCAGATGCGGCACACGTAGTTGTTGCACATGCTGGGTTTGAGCCGCATCTCGCTGAGCGCCTGGCGCGCCTTCTCCTTGTCCGCCTCCGATTGGCTGATGAACTTGGCCAGGCCCTTGGGCTTACGCTGCTGCTTGTACTCGTCGCGCTCGACGACGCGCGTGTATCGGCGCAGTCCGCTGACTGTGGCCGTTCCGGCGTGCATGATGACCGGCAGGTCGGCCGAGTGGACGACAGCCGCCGCCGGGCCGCGAACCACCTGCTCGGCGCCCACCGGCGGCACGCTGGCGCCGGCCGGCCCGGCCAGCTCGCGCTCCATCAGGCCCCAGAGCGCGGCGTCGGCGGCGCAGCGCGGCTCGCCCTCCTCCCCCAGCAGGGCGGGCAGCGGCGCGGCCGCCGCTGACGTCGTCCCGCCGGCTGCGCGCGCCGCCACCGCCGTAGAGCCGGCACTGCACGCGTAGTCGTGCTCGCGCAGCTGGTGCGGCGTGTCGGGCCGCCGCCGCCGCCGGGGAGAGGGCGCTTCCTCTGCCGACGGCGAGTCGGCGGAGGCGACCTGCGGCTGGCTCGGGCCGCTGGGACGGCTCAGACGCCTTGGCAGCTGTGGTGGAGCGCCCTGAGGGACGCTGGGGCTGGGCTCCACCGGCTGCTTTTGGGCTCCGCTCGCGCCGCCGGCCGCAGAAGGCGACTTTCCGTTAGCTCTCGCGTAGTATTTTTTTCCGATGCGGATATCTGTGGTCCGCCGAGGCAGCGGCACAATCGTCTCCGCTGTGAACTTGATGCGGCCAGCTGAAAACACACAAAGTGGGCATTAGCTTCAAGATGAGACAAAAAAAAAAACAAACTTTGTAACAGAGCCAAACACACACAATTGACACAAACACATAAAAGATGATGGCATCCAGCACCCTGACAATTAAATCAAATGGTTCATTTCAACAACAAAAGTATGCAAACATACACACATATGTTATGACGTTATCACCAAACATACAAATATTATAAGGTATGGCATAGGTAAAAGTGCTGCTGTCACTTCCACAAAAACTGCAATCTCTATGCCCTCCACCAACATTAGCACTCACGATTCTCAGGACAGCGCGACCACACAACGTCCTATGGGACGTCAACAGACAGGCGCGGCGTCCTCCGACGGGGCACTGGCATCAGGACTGTGATCTTTGGATAGAGGATTGATCCGGGGCCGGAGGTGACTGGTTTCGGGTGACCTCGCGAGAGGCGAGTCTGGGTGCTGCAATCACACGAATGCAGCCATTGCAGGTCCAGTTGCAAACCACATTATGCATGCATGGCTTCAAGGATGCAGACAACGCAGAAGAGGTGCTTCCAATCGCTCATGATGCACGCTTCCGAAAGCGTTGAGCGAACCTCGAATAATTATCAGTTTGAAAGCTGCAGTATTTGAGCTAGGATTGATTTACGAAAACAATCCACTAAGCCAATCATTAACACGGATGTGTCAATCGTGCTCCGACACTGTGGTGGCCAGGCAATATCACCTACAAATGCATGCCGCAGGCTGGGAATGCCGACCACCACTCCGCGGCTTTAAGCAATTAGCCATCGGTGTGTGGCACTTTCGGTATTGAGCTGTCGATTTATAGTTTTTTCATCAATAAAAACGAACTATTGTGCCTCATCGTCCCAAATCTCCAAGACATGAATAGCCTTTACTAAAAATGCGATTTAAATTCAACTTTTGTTCCAGATTTCGTCCAAACCTTCTGAATGAATGGATTTCAGGAATCAGAGCCCGCACTAAGCATCGCTTGCTGCGTGACCTCTGGCCCCCACAACCTGATCGTAAAATTCAGATCAATGAAAAAGTTAGGTGGCAAAATGCTTGGCACGGTCTGCCCTGCCTTCTGACGTTATCTGACCTTTGATAAGTGCCGTGCCCGCTACCACTGGCCGCAAGCCATCTCAGCCAAGGGCAAATGGCAAGCGACTAAAGCGACTCAAACCCACCCACCAAGGAGGGTGGGCCAAAAAGCAGGCACTCCAACCAACCGAGCTATCAAGACAGACTGTTGCACTATGGAGTAAAGCATTGCATTATGGAAATAAAATCTATGGTACTGGCTTCCCATGGGATGCCAAATGGTACTTCACAGGATGCAGACTAAACAAATAATTATAATGGCACTTCCTGATATCTTGAAAATGAATCAAAATAGAAGATGTGATACTAACTTTTATCCTTAACACAAAAATGATTTTCCAGGGCACCATATGTAAAGTCCATGTAGGAAAGGTGGGATGGGGCAGGGCACCTCCCCCTTTCCACTGTCCTTACTTTCTAACTGCCCTTTTGCCAGTTTGATGTAAAATGCTTTTAAGGTGGCATGTCCATCCACCTGCTTCTTCCCAGCCTTTAAGCAGCTTCGGTAAGTGCTTCCTTCACCAATGCCACCACCACCAGCATATGAAATGAGTACCAGAGGCAATCCCCACACTTACTTGCTTCTGAACTGAGCTGCTTCAGATGGCTTTGCAAATGTTGCTTAATTGCTCGCAATGACTTCGATTCATTGCCAAAGCTGGTGCTTTCATATCGGCAAATCGACGGAGCCAGGCAGCAGGTGTACTTAAAAACGCGGCGCAGCTCGTTCGACTCGAACCGAGTGAAATGTTTGACCAGCTGCTTGCTGCTGAGTTTCAGTATCTCATCCAGGTCCAGCACACCACCTGCAGCCTTCTTCGAAATCTGTAAACATGAATCAACAAAATGCTACTAAAAATGCACTAGTCTGTGTAGCAATACCTCACACAGACCAGCAAATGTTTACCAATGCCTATGTTTGTGCAGCCCCAATTTTGGGAAAAAACCTGGACCATTTGATAGATGACCAGGCAGTGATCAGATTCATTCTGTTCTGAGATTTTGGTCATGTGCATTGCACAAACACACATAGACAGACATTGTATGGACATTAGCAGCTTGACTGTACTGAAAATAAATCTCCCTGCACACATGATGAACAGAAGCATCTGTAATGAGCATCAAAACACACAAGATCTACGATAAGATGAGTGCACAACATACATTCAACATATATCAACAGCCTAGCCCTCTGGGCACAGGCTCAGTAGGCACATGGGAGAAGCATGCACCTACCTTTTCACTCGAATTGCGGGCATCACGGGCGACCAGTTCCGAGACAACCGCATCGTCAGGTGCCAGTGCTACCTCACATAACAGGTCTAATGATGATTTCTGGCCCAACCTCAGAACCATGGTGGGCTGTTTAACTGAAAAAGCAAATGTTCTAGAAATTCTGCAAACAAAAACAGACAATGGTGCCATTTTCATACAAGCATGGGCAAATACCAATCCAAATTCTGATGACAGCCACAGTGACAAATTAAGTGTGCACAATACATGGAAAGCAGAACTTTGCAGAGTGCATTAAAACCACACTTGTGAATGTAAGAAAAGAAGAAAGAAATTATAAGTGACACATGCAGCATGGACATGCCTACATGCCCTGGAATGTCAGCACATTTAAAAGATGCTTGGGGCATTACTTCAGGCATAGGTGCCAAGACAGCGCTACTGCATTTCACTTACTTCTTAGAAATGCATATCATTTCAATGCTGAAAAGTAGTGAGATCGTGAACAATCCCACCTGCATTAAGTAGCATGACAGCAGCCATCAGCATCATAACACAAATTTGAGGGCACATGGGAAAGATAAAGGAGAGACAAATATACTGCCCAGAGATAAGATGAACTGTGCAAAACATTCAGTTCTGCCTTCAAACTGCCTAAAACAAATAAACCAAAATCAGAAGGGATTTATGAATGATTCAATTACTAGTGGCATTGCCTATAAGCATGGCTCAAAACTATATGTAAATGACAAGTAGCTATTTCAGTACAGACAGGGACAGTATTTACCTGTGTTAGCACAGATCTAATGATCTTACAATCAGAAATGAGTCAAGTTTGAGTTTTCATACCATGAAGCCAGCAAACTGTAATAAAACAAGTACAACTTCTAACACATACTGGAATATGTAGATCAACAAATAAAAGCCAAAACAAACTACAGTAGAAAGCAAATATTAAGCACACTTCATAAGCTGCAGTAAGACTTATAAAGGCAGATTCAAAGATGATTATAGAAGTAACAAATGTTGGACTGCAAGCAAAAAATAAATATTAAAGAGCTGAGAATAATTTGCATGAATGCCTTTGAAGCTACAGCCGATGCCAGGCAAAGATTGCTCTTTTATCTGCTTCTCTAGCCAGACAATCTCAGTGGCATTATCATGAACAACACAGTCTTGTATAGACCTGACTTTATAGCCATTTATTTGCTATCCAACACTGGCAAGCCAAATAAAGGGGACTGGCCTTACCAATTTTGTTTTACACAACTGCAGAAATTGTAGCATGCACTTTGAATATGGGTTTTTTAAATAAATTTATTATGAATGGTTTGCATGGGTAACTTCACATTCAGAGTGCCTGCTGAGCACAGTTTGTTCTGTGTACCTTTAACCCACCACCCAAGTCATGCCATTCTGTTCAATAATTTTATCTCTATCCTTTCACCAGACAGGAATGCAGCAAATCTTACATGCCACATAATGGTGAAACATGGCCTGCCTTCCTGGGCCTGGGTTGACCCTCACTGGCCAGTTGCCAGCTGACCTTTCCATTTCAGTCCTTCCAAAGATGCACCTGCTCCAGGACTGTACCCAGTGCCACAAAAATTCAAATGCATCATCTTTCTTCTAAGCCAAAGAGGTGGCAAAGATGGAGGGTTTATCTTCTTCCCAGGATCTCTATCTTATCAGATAATTCTGCAAAACTTTAGCATCAAGATAGGCCTTTAATAGCACTTAGCCATGCATCCAGCCCACTATATATTGCTGTTGTATCAATATTCTTACTCACAGCATTGTGATACCATATCTGTGGATAGCCATGAACAGCTTTTCAAAATCAAATGTTTGTTGAATTTTGATTTTTGAAATACATCTCAAAAATTTTATTTTCAATTTGTAAAAGGGCAAAGAGCTTCTTTCCAATAGGCCTGCACCAACTAGCGAAAAATCCACCCATTGTGCTGGATGTTTACATGAATTTGAAACAGTGCACCCGCTGCGTTAATCAACCGTACTCAGGCCAGGGTAAATTACAGTAAATTTTCAGATATTGTTTTATTGAAAAATGTTTAAATATTTCTACTCAAGTTACATTGTAACAAATGTACCATGCCAAGTACCATCATAATTTTTAGAAAAATATATCTTTTAGCATTGCAATTGGTGGTCGGACTGCACCAAACACCAGGTGTATTCAACATAGAGGGTATTTTTAGTCTGGGCCAGCTTAATTTAATAAAAAGCAAGCACTGTTCTAGTCCCTGCCATGTGAGCCAGCAGCCTGCAATCTTCATGGTCAGATACTGTGCACTCTACTATATGGGCTGCAGACCTGGCACAAATTCCTTTGTTGCATGTATTAAGTTGTAGATGATTCCTTTCTGCTCCATCAAAAGTACCATTGAAAACTGAAGTACTGGATCATGGGTTCATGATACATGCAGTGTTTTCATTATTTTGATGTAGTCAAAGACAACCCCACAGAAGAACATGAATCCGTTCAAGGCGTTTGTGACCGTGACTAAAATCTGGGGCCCTTCTTCATTTGAAAACTCTTGGATACTCCTGTAAAACGAGTGGTGACAAAGCATAACATCTACAACACACACCAAATTTACGCTCGGCCAAATAACACCCCACCACATACTCGCTTAATGGCAAATAGATGCTCATGCTACTGCACAACAAACCTGCTCGATCCTACGCGTCGAAACTTCAATCTGTCCGAATCAGCCTCGATTTCATTGGCCTGGAAGCAAATTCTTCCGTTAAACCAAGCATACCAATCTGAAGAGCAATAGTCTTGCCAGGAAGGCGCCAATAAGTGCTGAATTCAGAAAACACAGTCGCAAGTCCCTCGTACCGAACCCAGCCCGCGATCGCCCAGCGCCTTCCGCCGTTCCGTTTGTTTGTGACAGGAAGCTAGCAGAAGGGAAGGTGATAGAGAAAATGCATGATATCACGAAGCCTTAGTAGGTTTTAGATTGTTATTCTGCTATGAATTTTCAAATCTATGTATTTCATAACATGCATTACAATTATCTCTTCATATTACCTATTCATATTTACACGAAAATTAACCAGCCTTAATGGGGCATTAATGTGTTTCATCTCTTTAGCCATTTCGACAACTAATTTCGCTCATGCGCTTTGTATGTCTACAGATTACATTGTATTCTGGAGCGTGTATTCGTATTAAGAAAAAGCTCGCATGAAACTTACTACTTAACGCGTTAAGCTTCAACCTAAAAACTCCCCTTTCTTAAGTAGCGCTGAATTGTGACAGAAACAAGGTCAAACATGTTTTACACACTGTCCGACGTCGTCAATGACTCATTGATATGTAACTGCCTAACTTGGGACTATGCCAGGAAGCATGTGTTGCATTTTCCTTGACTATACTGTACCTTCACATGAAATATGTCAGAGACCAACACCAGAGTTGAGAAAAAGTGAGCGTTTTAGAATTATCTCTAAAATTAGTCCTTTGGCCACTTGCGCTGCCACGGCTACCACTTTTCCCCGCAATTGTCTTAAATGAATTTTATTTCTGTTAGTTGCGAAGATTTGGGTATTTAGCCACAGCTTTGCTCTTGATATGCTATTAAAAGGTGCTGAATATGCACATGATGAAAAGTCTTAGATGCATTTAGCACCGGTGCTATTTACGGAATTTTATCAGTACTTTAGTAGGCCCTGAAAGCTCTTAAAGGGCATCCATGCGCCAATAGTGTCTCAAATTTAAATGTATTCCTTTCAAGGCCGATTCACAGCTCGTTTTAGGTTGGTCGACGAGTGGCGTTGGGTGGGGTATGTAAGTCTGTGGCATTGATATTTTGGGCTTATAGCAGGTATGTGCATAGGTTGATTGTGTAGGGTCTCTGTTGGCAGGAGACATCATATATGGGCAGGTTTAGTGGGATCTGCTGGTGCTGGATATCTCTCAGAGAGTGGATGAAATATAGGCACCCACATGACCACAGAATAGAGATTCCAACATAAATGAGTACTGGAGCTGCATTCTGTGCTTACGGGGCTTCAAGTTTTTTATTTGTACTCTGGCTGCAAAATATATAGGTGTCATATGGGGTGCCTTCAAATCTTGTTTTTAAAGATTTGTTGTGCTTCTTGTTTGTGGTGGCAAGAAGCCAAATGGATGTCAGGGATGCAGTCAGTGTTAGCATTTGGTCTTATGATGATTGACTCAAGTCAGTCTTAGCATTAGAGAGAAGGGATCATGCTTTGTGTTTGGTGCATTTTGTGATCAGGTCTATGTTCCAGGTTCAGATGATCATGTATTTTTATGACATTTTTATAGAAATATTGATGATCTCTGTGATAACTCATTGACAGTCTTGTAGCCCCGGGTGGCGTAATTTGCTGGAAAGGTAGCAATGTTCTAGACTGACCGGACATAAAACCATGGCAGGCACGCCAAAAAGATTATAGGAGCAGGCAGAGCCCTGTCCAAAGCCAAATGGAAAACTACCCCATTTGGAAAAGGTTTTGTGAGACTGTTACCTGTTAAATTATTTACCATTACATGCAACAATTTTTGTGATCTTGCAGGTTTTGTTTGCCATAGAACTCATCATGATGTCTTCATAACCTTTTTGATAGTAGTCACCCAATTTTCAAAATATGTCCAAGATTATAAGCTGTACTTCACTTCAGCTTCATTAAGATCTCATTAAAATCCTATTCTCTATACATTCTCATGTATCCAAATCTGCCATGGATTGTAGACTGGTGGGCTGCATAGAAAAGTATAGTGTTTGCAAGATGTTGGTGCCTGTGAAAGTAAACTGGGAAGCATGGATGGTTTTACTATCAAGCTCTAAATACTGAAAATCATTCTGCCAGAAACATGCCCTTGATGTAAGTTCTGTAGTTACCACCATTTTCCTTGAATGTTGATACTGCCTGGCATGCCATGCTGGATTGGAACAAAATATGCAAAGTGTGTGGTGAGTGTGCTGAGTTGTACATGTCTGTATGTGAAACATGCAGGTTAAAGCAATGTGACAGGAGTGGTATGAGATAAAGCTGTTGGCTAGTGTAGACAGGGTTGGCCAGTCTATAATTTGATGGGGATTACTAATAACACTTAAATTGTATAGGAATATATATTTATATGGTATATATATACATATATGCATATATTTTTATGGTATATATATATATATATATATATATATATATATATATATTATACCATAGAAAGCTGTGTGGAATGACACACATACCTATGATTTATGAGCATATGTGTTTGCTGCTACTTAATGCATACATGAGCATATTTGTGTTTTGATAAGTATATTATCATTGATGACTGTGATTTGGAGCATTTTAAAAGATTATGATTATTTTAAGATTTTACCTGCAAGGAATATTTTCTGCTAGCTGTTTCTGTCCATATGTTGGACATGGTGATGCTTTACATGATATTTCATTTGTCATAAAATAATGACAAAAATAGTCTCTTTTGATCCAACAACACTTATTGCAGCTTTGTGTTGCAAGACGTTTTCAAGATAAAGCCAGAGGCCTGCATTAAACATGACTGAAGTGGATATAAAATCTGAGACTGTCATGGAGGTCTGTATGATATGTAAGCATGGATTAGTAGATGCCCAAGACATTCATGAAGCAAGAACATCATTCTCCAAGACTTTGCTGGCAGTTAAGCTGGGTAAGTGTCATGCCTTCTCCTTTCTGTGCATTTTTTTTTTAAATGTTGGCATTCAGTGAACTCATTGCATGCATTCAGTGAAGTTTTGGATTGTAGGTTGAAGCTGCATTTGAATAGCCTGATATAACTGAATGCCTTTTCCATACACTTAAAGAGAGATGGTTGTATAACTCAGTATATTTTGAGTTTTGCTCTGTCCACAGAGGGCTTCTGTTTAAAATTATTTGGTTATGCTTTTTAAGATGAAAAGTTGTGTGTGTTGGACCAAAGAGTGTCTCATCATGCTGTTCTGTCTGGTGAATGCTCAGTGGATGAAATTTCCCAGTTATTCCAAGATCTGAAGGGATAATGCACAGTGTATTAGTGGCATGAGCTGTGTGGTGATTGTGGAACAAAGCTAATGACTTTGCACACAGGTAAGATCATCCAATCATCATTTCGGAAAGATGAAGAAGGTGTCACTTACCAAATATGCAGTGGGTGTGCTGAGCTCGTCAATGAGATAGACCAGTGTGAGATCAAGCTGATGGCCTTGGAGAATGAGGTGAGTGGTATTTGATGTGAGTTATTTTATACATAATGGTTGCAAAATGGTTGAAGTGTTCACACAAAAGCCAACTGGTGCTTGACCCTTTTTTGTCCTGGTTGCATTGTTCACATTCAAGCACCCCTTCACCTGCTGGATGCTGGTCTTGCCATATTGTTCTGCCGACTTTGATCCCACCAAGTGGTTGTACTGTCAGAGGTCGTGCTAACTGAGGCCAGACGGACGGCGGCAGCCAGTAGCGCCTGCGCCGATGCTGGTCTGATAGATAGTGGCCGTGTCTATGTAGTGGTGGTCCTTCTGGTGATGACATCATGTTACTGGCGTCCTAAGGACACTAGCAGTGGTTGCGTCGGCGGCGTACAGTCGCATCGGTGGTGCTCGCCGCGGTCTCAGCGGCACGCGAGCGCGGCACCACCGACGCTGACGCCGGCTGACCCGGCCGCTGTCGGCGGGCCGGGCGGCACGCGAGCGCGACACTGCTGACGCTGACGCCGGCTGACCCGGCCGCTGCCGGCGGGCCGGGCGGCACGCGAACGCGACACTTCTGACGCTGACGCCGGCTGACCCGGCCACTGTCGGCGGGCCGGGCGGCACGCGAGCGCGGCACCGCTGACACTGACGCCGGTGCGGCCGCCAGGTGAAGCTTAAGTACAAAATGCCGTTCCCGATCGAGGTGCACAGCCGGAGTAGCCAGGAGGGTGCGCCGCCGCCTGCGCCGCCGCCGCCACCGCCCGACCCCCTGCTGGAGGGTGGCGAGCTGGCGCCGGCGCAAATCTGCCAGGTGCTGGACGCCGCTGGCGTCGACACCGGCGAGACCTACAGCATCGAAGTCGGTCAGTGGGCCGCGCACAGCTGTTTTTGCGAATAGGAAGTGTGTGGCGCGATGAACAGAGTGAATGGCAGGATGGCACAGGACGACATAATCGGTCTGCTGTGCTTTACGAATTAATGCGAAGTATACGTACTAAAAAAATTAAGAATGTTCAAAATATTCACCTAAAATCGGAAGGGAATCATGCATGCAGAGTTGTATTCGATCCTGGTCTAGACATGACTACCTCGCAGGTCAGCTTATTCAGATCAGTGTACGAATGAACTCCAACAATGCCATCCGCCTGTTAACTGTCGTCTGGTGTGACCGTGGCTGTCTAAACCACGGTCCGCTGCCTTCAAAGTGTGTACGCCACTGGTGGTCGTGCTGGCTCTGCTCAAACCACTGCCTAAGAGAAAGGAGGGGTGGGGGGGGAGGGGTGGGAGGGCTGCATAACAGAGCTGTCCACCAGGGCATAGTATAGCACATCTGTCGAGCAGCCACACACAGTCTCGTCATTTGTCCGTCAAACCGGCGACGCGACTCGGCGTTTCTGGCGGTGATCGGTGTGCGGGGTCCGTGTTCTGACAACGGCTCACATCTGTGTGCGGATGACGCCTGACCGCCGCCCCTGGCGCAGTGGACTCGGCGGACGGTCTGCCCAAGGGCAGTCACGTGGCCTTCAGCGACTCGCTGGGCGAGAGCATCATCCTGTACGAGCAGCAGGAGGAGGGCTTCACGGGCCAGCAGCTAGTGGAGCTGGATCACATGCCCTACAGCGTCCAGCTCAGTGACGACATCCAGGTGAGGCGTCCTCGGGAGCTGGCGGCGGGCGGCGGCCGCGCTCCGCCCACGCCGCTCCAGACCGACCTCCGCGCCGGACGTTGCGGTGGACCGGCACAGCGGGCTGGTGTGCACTGACGCGGGGCCCGTGGTGCGCTGGGAGCGGCCGCTTGAGATGCGTTCGAGAGCGGGCTGGTGCACGCTGACGCGAGGCCCGTGGTGCGCTGGGGGCGGCCGCTTGAGATGCGTTCGAGAGCGGGCTGGTGCACGCTGGCACGGGGCCCGTGGTGCCCTGGGGGCGGCCGCTTGAGATGCGTTCGATATATTTTTTGGGAAATCTGCGTTTAAACCATTTCAGCAGTAAGACCTCACGCAAAAGAAATCCGGGCGGAGCGTTATGGGATGGAGTGTTATTCAAGGGTTTGATTGTGAAGTGGTTGTGGCAAAACTGAACGATGCTGCTTCTGCTTAACCTAAATGTGAGGATGTCCTGCAAGAAAGGATCCTCCCTGGCAGTGCTACACTCAGCTCACCTAACCTGACCATTGCATGACACGGGGTTATCGTATGGCAATTACACAACCAGGGACAGACTATCATATGACGTCATTGTGAAGCAAGGAGCACAACTTCGTCACTGTAGTGACGTTTGAGTTAAACACAATTTGATGGCACCTGCCGCCGAGCCGTGTACCTGCCGCGAGCGGTTTTCAAGACAACGTTGCGACGTTTGCTTGTGTGTGTGTGTGTGTGTGTGTGTGTGTGTGTGTGTGCGTGTGCGTGTGCGTGTGCGTGTGCGTGTGCGTGTGTGTGTGTGTGTGTGTGTGTGTGTGTGTGTGTGTGTGTGTGTGCGTGCGTGCGTGCGTGCGTGCGTGTGTGGGGGGCACCGTGGGGTAACGAACCACATGCCTCCGGTTTCCCGAACGCACTGCTTGCCTACTGCACCACTGGTGCCCGGAAATAGTCAACCTAGTAAATACGCGTAAACCGATGGCAGGATGCATTATATTTGCGATCAAACATGAACGTACGCCGGTCATACGAAGGGTTGTTGCTTGCTCTTACCAACCATGGCGTGTTTCCCATCTCACGTACCATGTACCTGGGTTACATGCCTTGAAGCCAGGAGCACGACCAGATATGGGACTCATATTTACATTATTCTGATGGGCTGCCTCGTTTACATCGTGCGCAATGCGACGGTGGCCACGATGAAGCCGAGCGCGGCTACCGGACCGAGAATGGCGGCGGGACGCGCGGCCGCTCGGGAGACGATGATCATGGGATTATCCTGATTGCCGCCGGTCAGGGGCCCAGCAGCCGACTCCGGCACGATGCCGTCCTTGGCGCTGCACAGGTTCGGGTACCGCGCGTCACCCCCGCAGGTGGTACCCTCCGGACAGGCCGAGCACACCTTGCCCTGCTGGTACACAGGTGTGCTCATAACGTTTCCTGCCGGGCCGTAGTTGCAGACCAGGAAGTGGTCGTGAAATCCGCCGTCTTGGTACCCGGAGTAGCCACACCCCAGCTTATACGAATTAGCCCAAATCCACTGAGAGAAGTGACCCGTGTTGGATGAGAAGACAAAGCTGCTGATGGTGGCGGCGTTGAACATATGCACCTCCTCATTGTACCACATCCATGCCAAAGTGGTGAGGTTTTGCAGCCCCTTAAAGCTGGAGCCACGCATCGCCACGTTCTGGCCCACCCTCATGGTCGGAATGTTACGACATTTGTCATGTCCGAAATGACACTGCAGCGCCCAGCGCTGGGCGACCTGGGCGATGTCGTCATCCCAGGTCAGCACGCCCATGTTGGCGGCGGTTGGCAATGGCCCGCCAGACGTTCGCTTTTCTCTCCCAGCGGCTACGAAGTCTCGCCACCTGTTATGCGTGTGTAGCATCTCTTGAATCTGTTTCTTGTTCATGCCTTGTCCTTCGAGCTTATTGCATTCGGGGCCCGGTGTCGTGTCGGCGAACTTACACATGGTGTGAGTCCCTTCGTCACACTTCACTCCACCGCAATAGTCGATGGCAGCACGTCCTGGTGCAAGTAGTAATGCCATAATCGCCCATACCGTCGCCAGTTTCAAATATTTGACCATGTCTCTAAGCTATTTTTAGTGAAATGATTGTTAAAAGATATGCACTAGCACCACTCGCTTATGAAATATCAGATGTAAGCAAGCATACAGCAGCTGAGACAGCCGTGATGAACGGTCTCAGAAGTTTAAAACTGTTGGTGATCTAGTTGCCGCAGTCGTCTTCCAGCAAATAAGTTTCCCCGGCCTCGTGCGGATTTTTGTGCCATCTTTCGACGAGCAACGTCAACATTCGAATTTCTGACTCATACTTGACATAACGTAGAAAGAGCTCGAGCTCCTAGTGTTTTTATGAGATATGACCAATGGCTGAAGGATAGCGTCATTTAACCAGTACCTCGTGCAAAAATGAAGGCCAACTATTTTTAGCGGGACTCAGATCGTGAATTTAAACTCTTGGATGCAAGTTAAATACCTGTCTCGGCTGTGACGCCCTCTCCAAGTTTGTGGATGAATGGACTTTAATGCGCGAAGTCATGGAGCACGGAAGCCCTTGAGCAAGTTGTGTGTGGTGTCAAAGATGCGAAACTTGCGCTTATCATTACGCATGACATGCGCGCTGCCCGTGCAGCTTGAGGAGCCACACGACTCACGCACCAATTTCCGCACTTTCAGATTTAACTCGCACACGCGCTTCGGGAGGGGGGTCAAATTGACCCCCTCCCGAAGGGTTTCTAGAATGGTTTCAGAATGAAACCCTTTCTAGAAAGGTTTAAAGTGTTGCATAGCTTTAGACGGCTGAATAGCGGATCGTTTGGTATTAAAAATTTAGATGTACCTTGTAAGGTGGCTGATCTACGGCAGGTCAAAGTCAGGCCATGGATTCTACAACGTCAATTTCGAGGGAATTGTACAATCTGATACAACAACAGAGTGTTAGACAAAGTCATACATCTTTGAGATATTTTCTTGAGCAACACGACAGTTGAATGAATAAATTACATTGTTCTACGGCCAGTTTTGAAGGTCAGACGATGGTCAAAACCAATCTGTTTTATTTCTCAAGGGCTTGCTTCATGGGTTAGTTTCTGGTTTCCGAATTTATTGATCGCAGGAGCCGTATAGTACATCTTCCATGGACTTCTGAAAGGTCAGAATAGATCACTGACCTGAAATGACCTCAGCCAACATTTTATTTTTAGGAACATACTGCCTAGCGCGATCTTTGTTGCTTATTCAAATGTAAAACTCAATGCAGCCCCGCAGGATATTGGTCACCATGACTTTTCAAAGGTTAAACAAGGTCACTGACCTTAAATGAGCCTGTGGCTGGTTGCTTGAACAGGTATCTAGGTTTCTGGGGCACCTGGGATACCAACCTGGAGGGTAAACTTTTTTGGCCTTATTTGACCCGAGGGTCATGACCTAGGAACCTCAAACTTTGACCTAAGTGAGTTCAGGTACAGGCCAACACGCCCTGTAAATTTGGTGTCTCCAGCTCTCTCAGTTCCTGAGATCTCATTGGTGAGGGTCAAATTGACTCCCCACCCGAGCGAAGGGTATCTAACCGGCCACCCAGGTGCGTGTTAAGCGTATTGAGAATTATCCAGCCCGTGTTCTTGCGACTAGTCATCACTTACCATAGCTTGGTGACCCCTGAAGCCAAAGTACCGTACACGCGCACAGCATGTATCTGCATCGCTATTTCTTAGAATTTGTATGTTGCCTTTTCACTTCTTGTCTTGTATGCGTACGGTTTGGTCATGTCATCCTTTGGATAGTCAGCTATTCGAATATTTCTCAAAAAGAAGTACTCGTAATACAAACATGATATTACTACCCACACTAGTTAGTGGTGTCCATGAACCGATTAAGTTCACCTTTTCATTGTTTTGTAGCAAGCATTGATTCCGCGTTACCTGCGCGGTCCTGCAATGTAGAGGATCATGGGGTCAAGGGAACATATAAAGAATAGCTTGTTTCGCCCACCCCGAACCAACCACCAAGCTGTTATTCCAGATCGACGTATGGTTTTGCGTGCGGCCGTTTGACGGCGGGAGGCCAGGCAGTGGCTACGATGGTCCTGGCCGTGACCTGTGACCCCTGCCGCCCGCAGACATCCGAGGTGACCACCATCATCGAGCGGAAGCCGCGTAAACGCCTGAAGCGACGCCGCTGGGGCGCCGAGGGCGGCTACTTCTGCGACGAGTGCGACGCCACCTTCTCCTCCTTCCCGGAGCTGCAGAGTGAGTAGACGTCGCGCCCGCCGCCCGAGCGGACCGCAGCGGTCGCCGCGGGCTGACGGCGTAGGTGGCGTCGCTGCAGGAGGCGAGCGGCGCGGGTGTCAGCGCCGCTCTGTGTCGCGCCAGACTCAGTTTGTGCCGAAGGTGGATGGTCTTCACTCCTGCGGCCTTCAGTTGGTGCTCGGCGAGGACGCGGAAGCGATGACGGCGTGATTGGCGGCGTGCCGGGTCATGTGGCGGGGTGCACTTTGACCTGAGGTCCTGACTGGGAATTATCTTGCTGCGCAACACATGCCCGACTAGGATTTTGCTTTTTGGTGCGTGTAAACGACCGCTCCTAATCTTGTGTCAAAGCTGCATGCCCCGGATGAGATCAGGTGAGATGCATCAAAAGCAAGTTCTACGCAATCTGTGAGAAGCCACCCAAAGGATCTTGACTCGCGCCCATCGGGCGCATCCGTTTTCAGGCCACCGTCAAACACACGACTCGGCAGAGACGTTCAACTGCCGCTACTGTAAGCACATCGCCCGCACCAAGATCAAGCTGCACCGTCACATGCAGGAGAACCACAAGGACCGCATGATACCGTGTCCGTACTGTGAGAAGCGGTTCCCGGAGAAGTGCAATCTCACCAGACACGTGGCGATTCACCTGGAGCCCAAGTTCATCTGCGAGGTGAGCGTCTGGCCTGCCGGGCTAGGCGGCTCGTCACGTCGCGTGCAGACGTGGCTCTGAACATGCCCGTGGGTGTGGGTTCGGGGTTTGGGTCGAGCGCACCTCCTACCGCAAGAGGCTTTAGCTGCTGGCGGCGGGATGTGGCGTGGCTGGGCGGTCCCGCATATTCCGGATGTGGTCATAGACGATAAACCGGCGATCCACGACTGTATTCGCTTTTATCTATATGATCTACATGACATTTAACACAGGGGGGGAAGTCATGCCACGGTATGAACACCTAGCTTACTTCTGTAGACGCTCATATTGATTAGAGAAATACCAATATGAATATCGTTCTAGCCTACAAGCAGCTGGTGATGCCTTGCCGTGTTGGTCTCTGTGGTGTCTCACCGTCGGCGCCCCTGTCCCCAGATCTGCTCCCGGCCCTTCCATTCCAAGGGCGACCTGGGCAAGCACATGGTGTTCCGCCACACCACCGAGAAGAACCACCCGTGCCCTGAGTGCGACGCCAGTTTCAAGACCAGCTGGATGATGAAGCGGCACCTGTCGCGAGTGCACGCCCGACTTTGAAGGGGATGGGGGGGGGGGGGGTCTCGCGGCGTTCTGATGTGCCCCGCTGCGGCCGCGCCCTGCTGCGGGACGCCCGGCAGCTGCGCGGCTGAAGAGCTGAACGGTGCCGGGACGACGGCTTTCCGTCAGAGGGCCCGCGGCCCGGGGCGGCGCTGGTGGCTCGCGGACAGACATCCAATCGGCCGAGCCCCGACCCACTGGGACCGCGGTTTGGGCCGACCCCTCGGAGTGATGCGGTCTGGCGCCAGACCTCTGCGGACGTAGGTCATGACCGGTGCCAGACCTCTACGGACGGAGGTCATGACCGGTGTCAGACATCTGCATACGGAGGTCATGAACCCCGTAAACGAAGACTGCGGTGGTGCTGCGGTGTCAGCACGTGACGCGGCGTCGACCGTTGCGTGTCGTCCTCGAACGCTGCTGTACCATAGGACTGCATGACCAAGAGTGCGGTGGTGTCGGCCGGCGGCCGCGGCGTGCCCGTGTTGGCCGTGTTCCCTGCTGCCCATCCGCGAACAATAACGTTCACGTTCGTATGTTCATATGTAGCGGCGTGTGCTGCGGCGCGCCGATGTGTGAACTGTCCGCACGCCGGGCAGCCTTGCAGTGGTGGTAGGCGTGTTTGTTCAGTATGTAGTGCAGTTGATTTTAGTTAACGGTCCCACAGCAGCACGTCTGGCGTATTGTGGGACTACGCTACCTGCGTAGTCACATTAGCTGACATTGTCAATACACTCCAGGTTGAGATACGTTGCTGCAGTACTGCCGACGTGGCCAGGACCGTGAGTTAAGCGTGATGGACGACCATCATTCCGGTGGCCCGTGCTTGTCCCGTGAGCGCCGCTTCCTGCTTCGTTTGAGATGCACCGCAGGGTGGCGGTAATTTCTGATGCAGAGTAACTGGTGAACATGACCATTCACTTGTTCAGCGATGGCGCAAACAACGGGTGGCTTCGTGGTTCGTGGTACTCGGTAGCAGCCATTGGGACAGCCGATACCACGGTCCATGGCAGCAGCCCTTGAAAGCGTGGTGGTAGGCCCGTGTTTCGTTTCTTCACTGCCATACCCGGACGTCGTTTGATGCCCTGCACAGCGGGCTCGACAATGGCTGCTGTAATGGAGTTGCAGCCGCGTTCGTTCCCGAAGTTCTCCAAGAGGCTGGGTGGCAAAATTCACCCTCGACACTTTCTCACGCTCTCGATCGTGTAGTGCGTGATTGTGCTAAATAGTGGTGATGTTGACGACGGCCATGCATGCCTGACAATCGGACTACTCTTCAGTGACGGCAGACGCGTAACGAACTTTTGCGTAAGGAGCGTGCGGGCTTCATGCCCAGCGCATGGGCACAGTTCTAGGCTGGTAAGCGTGCTGTTCTGAATTTCTATTCAAAACTGCAGTTACAAAACTACTGAGTATTAGATAATTACAAGAGCTGGACTGTCCGGTTCATCGCACGGAACAACAGTAAGGCAAACAGCAATACTTTTTGGTGTATTGGCAACCATCTCCTCACATCGCAAATAAAACCGGACATAGATACTTGCGCATGCGACTCCGTGGATATATATATATATATATATATATATATATATATATATATATATATGGGTGTGTGTGTGTGTGTGTGTGTGTCTCCGCGTCTACAGATGCGCGGTGCACAAGTGGGCGCCCCTCGGTAGTGGCGCCGTCTGCCGCCGACCGCTAGGAATGGGGGCCAGTGCAGCCGCCGCGCCACAGGCCGAAATGAAAGACTGCAGTCAGCGATATCGACTAGAAGTACCAACAACTGAGAGATAACCAAACTCAACACCCAGGCTTGCACCCAACAAAAAACTCGGTACAAAACGACACGCATTCAACTGACTAGAAAAGCCTGATGTTTACACTGGACGCCCGCGGCCGGACGCGGCCCGCTGCGCCGCAAGGGCGGCGCGGGACGTCTCCCCACCGGACGCCACTCGCGCACTGTCATGATTCGGGCGCCGACCGCGTCCATTTGGTTATCATCTCCGAGCCGCACCCAGCGCCCAGCGCACAAGCGGGCGCGTAGCCGTAAGTACGGAGCCGGCGGGTCACAGGGCCCAGCAGAGTTCCTCACGCGCGCGCGCCGACGGCACGCGGCTGCCGCGCCACAGACGCGCCGGTCTTGGTCTCGCCAGCGCGCACATCTGGCAAGGTACGGCAACAGGGGGGGCCCTGACGGCGCCAGTCGCTGTAGTCGCTGGCTCCGAGGACACGGGAACACCAGCACCACGCGCCGGGTCATCAGAGCCGGACGCGCCGCGGCTGCTCATCCACACGACGGGCAGCGGAACACCTCGTCCGCGACACAACGCAGGATTACAACGATACAGCACATGTGTGGCAGGCCACGGCGACTCAAAAAAATAACGATCTCTACACGCATGCCAGACGGCTGTGTGGCGTTATTGCTGGGTTGACTACAGGAGCCCGGGGGCCAGCCGCGCCGGCGAAGGAACACGTACACTACAGCTGCGGCGAGCGCCGGCGCGCTCCGCACGGGAATCGCGCGGTCCCTCCCTTCCGCAGCCGGGCGAAAAGGAACACCGCTGACTGCTGCACCATTGACCGAGCCGATCTCAGCAGAACAGACGACCGATCGGGCCGATCTGCGTCCGTTGAGTTGCAGACCGGCCGTGCCCGGCCGGGCCGGGCCGGTCAAGGCTGGGTGCCGGCGGCCGGCCGGGCCGGTCAGCTGTCGGCCGCCAGCCTTGGTGTGATCTGGCAGTTGGCCAGGCTGTACTGCAGGTTGTCCCAGCCGTCGGCCGTGCCGACGTCCTCGGCGATCGGCTGAAAGTGCAGCTCCGGCTGCAGCAGCTCGCCGCCCGCCGTCGCCGGCTTGTAACAGCAGCGCGGCCTGCAGCACCGGATATTAGTCACTCAGCTGTCACCGACGCACTGGAAGCCGGCCTGCAGCACCAGGCACAAGTCACTCAGCTGTCACCGACGCACTGGAGGCCGGCCGGCAGCAGCGGCACCACGACCACCGGCCGATCACTGGCAACGGGCCATGGTCCACACACAGGATAACAAAGCGAGCCTTTCGGTCGTTAGGTTTATCTCGTGTGCCTGAAGCAGCGTTTGGCTGTTGCCTTCCTCAAGACCACACGTTGGATTCACCGTAGACGCATCCAATGCCACAGCCCAGCCCAGCCCAGAACACCGGCCGACATCCCCAGCGAACAGAGGAGGACGCCAGTGGCCGTGAGACGGCCGACGGGGGCCGGGCGTACCTGGGCGGCCGCTTCAGCTGTCCGTGCCTCTGGCGAGTGACTTGCGCGCGCAGGCAAGCATGCTCCTGCTGCAGACAGCTCAGTTCGGTGAAGCCGCCCGCTTTCTGACCTTGGTTCAGACGGTGGTTGAACGCTACCATCCCCTGCGAACGCAGAAGAGCCGGCTCACGTCAGCGCGTGCAGTCATCGACGGTGATCACAAGTGACCAATACCGCCCGCCTTGCATACACACTACCCTGAAACGAACGTAACCAGTGATATGCCTTCCAACAATTGCACGATGACAAGCAAGACGCCTCGCTCTCAATTTAGTAAAAACCATTCAGAGTCATAGCCAGTGGCATTTCGCAAAATGCTACCCATGTTCCACGAACCCACAGTAGTGCATCTGACTCATCTTTCAGGACTCCACGCGTTACGACGCAACCCTCCAACTTGACCATCCTCTGACCGTCACATCAAGGCATCAGTGGTGGTGATGGCCGGGCGTGGGCTTCATCTCCACCAGGCCTTCCACGGCTCGAGGGCTCACCTGAGAGGCCACCAGGCCGTCGGAGGCGCGGCGGCCCTCGCGGAAGCTGACGGGCGATCGGCGTCCGGTGGCCGTCTGCTCCAGCGGGTTGTGACGCACGCTGTGTCGGCACGCCAGAGTCGGCCGGCATGGCGGCTTGGCCAGCGCCGGTGCCGGCTGGTAGCACGAGCTCGAGCTGCTGAACATGTCCGGCTCCATTTGCGAGTCGAAGGACTCGAAGTTGTTGGACTCGGTGCTGGTGACGGAACCGAACGGCGACTCGGTGGCCGACGCGCCATCAGACGGCTTGCGCGCCACCGGTGGGTGCCGGCCGGCCGCCGCCGCCGCCGGCAGCTCGTCCACCATGTCCACCTCGACGCCCTCGTCGAAGGAGGGTGCGCCGCCGCCTGCTCCGCCGCCGCCGCCGCCTGCCGCGCTGGCACCGGCGCCGCTGGCGAGCGGCTCGGCCTCGGGTCCGGCCGTGAGCCGCGCTGCCTGCTCGGCCACGCTGCTCGGCCGGCGCGGCGTCAGCAGACAGGCCGCTGGACACGGGTAACTGCTGCGGTGCAGGCGCAGCCGCTCCTCCAGCAGAAGGTAGATACCGGCGTGGTGGTCGTAGGCCCGCCGCGCCACCGACTGCGCACACGGGCATCACCACCGTCAGCTATGTTTTTTGTTCAGCCTACCCAACTCATTTTGTGAAAATATGCTCCTGGATTTCATAACGACGCAAGCGTTTGCCACTGAGACACGGCGCTTACTTTCCTCAGTGACCCTCACACATAAATATAAATATAACTATGTATAACTATATATATATATATATATATATATATATATATATATATATACTATATATATATATTATATATATATAACTATATATATATAATATATATATATATACTATATATATAACTATATATATATATTTATATATATATATATATATATATATATATATATATATCATTGGCAGATGGTAGTTCTGCCATGTTCTAACAGTTGTAATGTGGGCCAGCCGTTCTAAGAATGCTTCGGTCGTGGCCAGTCGACAGTGCGGCGGCGCGCGGGCACAAGCTGGCGTCACAAGACTCGGCCCGAGACGACAGCGCGGCAGCGCTCCGTCCCTCCAGCCGGCCGAAGGGCGCACCCACCTGGCGCGTGACGGACGTGTCGATGCCCAGGCCCTGCATGACGCGCAGCACGTGCTCGTTGACGTCGGCCACGGCCGCAGTCGCCAGTGTCACTGGCGGCAGCGGCGGCGGCGGCGGCGGTGGGGGTGGCGGCGGCGGCGGCGGGGCGGCAGTGGGGCCGGCCTGCAGCCAGCGGTGGCGGAACACTTGCGGCATGGTCAGCCGTCGCTGCGGCTCCACCACCAGCATCTTGCGCACCAGGCTCTCGCAGTCTGCCGGCACAGGCGGGCCCAGTTATAGACGACATCCGGCCGCGAACGGCAGGCTGCGGACGACAGTTCGCAAAACACAGCAGTGCGAAGATGTGTGTGTTATTACGTGCTCTATTATAGCTAACGTACTAAATAAAATAGCAATGTCAGTTGGCATGGTCAAGCTGAACAGCAGGTAAGAAAACGATGCGTTTGCTTCTTGCACTATCTCATATCACCTGCCATTGGGTAGTTATTATTAGAACATAGTGACCAAATTGTTCTTATTACAATGCCTGCAATCATGCCAGAGACCCCAACCCCGCGTTCTCCAGACGTTGAGAGAAGGTGAGACCCACGTATGCGGGAACAACGCATCGCACATTAGATTACTATCACACGACATAACATCAGCATGTTGCATTGCTGTGGCATAGTGACACAAATGACGCCAAGGTGACCGTAGCGGACAATTGTTTTCGTGTCGACTTACAGCCGAGAAGTTTTTGCTCCTCGGTCCCTTTTTTCTGTACAGCACGCAGCACTCGAACAGTAAACAGCTGGAACACTTCAGCTTTCTTCTGAGTGACCCGGCTCGCACCCAGCCGCCCGTTCCAACCTCAGCCGGCCGACCCGGCACTGTGTTCGGCCGGCGCCAGAGTCAGCCCTGACCTGACCCGGTTGCCCCGTGACCCCGTCCCCGTCACCCCGTCCCCGTCACCCCGGCGCCGTCACGGCCGCCGCCGGACGGCGCGGCTCGCGTCAGCCGCCGATCCGCCGCCCAGAATAGTCGTAGCGGCGGGCGCGACGCGAGCAGCTGGGGCTTCTCGGGCGGCGGCGCTCGTACGTTGCACGTCAGAGCCGGTAATGACGGCCGCGCACGTCATCGGGGCGCGTCAATAGCCGCTCAGGGGCGGCCAAGATGGCGGCGGGCTGCGGCCGCCCCCGGACGGCGCTCGCAGCACGAGCCACGGTGAGTCCCCAGCCCCCAAGGGCGCGCGCAGATGTGGTCCCACCGAGTGCTGACTGCGCGCACTGCTCCCCACCGCTCCAAACATACGCGGAGTTCTTCCTTCACTCTTGGCCCATTTGATATGCCCGCCTCAGAGACGTCCTTCGCACGTGCGTTCCCCCACACTGTACCGATAGATCGATAGGCTTTTCCTAAATTGAGTTGTTAAGTTTTGGTGCTTTCCATTTTCCAACCTTCTTGATATCACCATGTTTCATGTCCTGCAGCACCTGAAATCCAACAGCATACCAACAGCTGAACCATAACATTATATGCTGCTATATGCAGAGATTGCATTGAGTCTGCTATATAGATATAGAGAGCTGCTATATGCAGAGATTGCAAACTTGTTTGATATATGCATATATGCAGAGATTGCTCTGCCATCTCAGATTGGAGACGAGCTGTAACCAATATCATAACTGCTCTCCCTCCGTAAGGTACAAATCGTGTTCATGCCACCGACCGATTCGGCTCTAACGACCTGTCAGCGTACAATCCATCTTCCAAGACGTCCAGGATTGACCCATATCTTCGAAAAACTGCTGTATTAAACCGGTTCAACAGAAACAAAAACAAATACACGAATCTTTTTGCATAGAAAACATGACATGTTTACGCGTCATTTGGTATCTGGGAATACAACAATGTACTTCCCTTCCGCCCAGTTTCCTACATTTGGCCACGAATCAGGACATAACAAAATATTACCCTACCAAAGATAGCACGCACCCTTAAGGGTGCGTGCTATGGTGGATGATGATGATTCATCGTCATCATCATCCATTGCTACACGTCACGGGTCTGTTTCAGCACGGCCCAGCTGACGTTGAGGTGTGGCACCAGCTGCTGCAGGCTTGCCATGACAGTTAAGGCGACAGGGTTTCCTACAGTCTCCGACAAGCAAACACTTCGGGAGCCGTCGTAAGCGGCAGCACCAGCCAAACTGCTGTAGCGAAAAGGTGGCGTGTGTTTCACATGGCAGCTGAATTTACCAGCATATTGAAGATTAACTTAGCTTGCAAGATGAGACGACCGGCAGGTTTGGCCATTCGAAACCGGTCATTCAACAGTGATTCCGAACCATGTGCCCGTTTTACTTCGACGGGGCGTTATAACCGAAATCGCATACACCAGTGGTAGCCGTTCTGATGAGCCTTACGAGGGATCGTCTACAAATCTGGTAAAACTCAGATTCTTTGCAACGGGTACACGCTGTCATCAGATAACAAATGGTGTGATCTATGATCTCAGTTGTAATAATAATACGAAACATGGCGATGAAAAACCGCCCCACTCCATCAAAGCCTGATAAGCGAAACACAAACTTGTTTGATGCAAGTACACAAATACGTCATTAGAGAAAAAGATACAGGTAGATTGTCAAACGACGTGCATGTTTGCCACCAATGAGTGCTCCGTTGTCGGTTGCTGTGCGTCATGTTTGTTGTTAATAAAGCCCGATCTTTCCCAACAAGTCAAACCAACGGAGCCTTCCCTCCCGCCAGCATCCATTCCCGGTAGGCAGACCTGTCCACCTATGCAGTCCATGGACCTGTTCAGTGGGCAGACCTGTCCACTGACACACCTGTGTATCGGCATCCGTGCGTGTCCTCCTCTCTGCCACTACACCTTCCGCTACCCCAGCAGAAATGCTCCCGCTATTGGCTGCGCTGCGTCATCCCTTCAAACGCAACGGTTGCCCTTTCCTCCGGTGAACTTCTACCGTCGTCTTCTGCACCAGTGAGGTTAATTCTGCCGCCATTTTCGGTAACAAAGTTGAACGTTTAAATTTCTGAGCATGGTATTTTCGCCAGTGCTGTGCGTCACTATGGTGGCGTTCTCGTGTCTATAAAGAGCAGGACACCCACTCCGCCACGGCCGGAGACCGCGCGCCCCGCGCTCTGATTAAAAACCGACGCTGCTGACGCGCACTGACGTCAGAGGGCGCTCGACTCGGGCTCGGGGCGGGCAGGCACCGCCAGCGCTCAGCGGACCGACCCGCCATCGCCACCAGCCGGCTCAGGCGAAATGGCCGCCGACCGGCCCCTGGCAAACGCCGGCGCGTGTTTTGTTTTCGGGATACCGCGCGTTTTAAGGGCGGAACGGGTACGGACTCGTGGCGTCCCCGGCTGCTTGCGGGGTAGGACGAGGCTTTCGCGACTGAGCTTACCGTCCCGATTTGTCATTTTTGGCTGAAAAAACAGGGAGTGATGCCGCCATTGGCTGATGACTTCAATGGAGGGCGGATATTTTTACGCCCATTTTTCCATGCAGTCCCCCCTCCCCCCCCCCCCCCCCCCCGATAGGCGAACCATTCAATTTCCATGCCGTTGGACGATGCGCTCCTCATTACGACGGCACGTCCTCCGCCCTCCCACGGTACGTCCTCCGTCCTCCCATGGTACATCCTTCCCACGGTACGTCCTCCGTCCTCCTACACCACTGGAGACAGTTTTGCGTGATATGAGCGTTTGCACCGATCCGACTGCGACTCTGTGACTGCGATCCATTGATCATTGATTGCGAACAGTAAGATACGTCACAGATCCGACACGTGGTGTCTGGGGCCGCCAGAAATAGCTGGCTGATCGAACACGGATTTCCATAAAGCCTCTTATTACGGCGAGTGATAGTGGCCGCTTGGGTATGCCGCGAGTGATGATGGCCGCTTGGTTATACTGCGAGTGATAGTGGCCGCTTGGGTAGACGGCGAGTGATGGTGGCCGCTTGGGTATACCGCAAGTGATGGTGGCTGCTTGGGTATACCGCGAGTGATGGTGGCCGCTTGGGTATACCGCGAGTGACGGTGGCCTCTTGGGTATACGGCGAGTGATGGTGGCCGCTTGGGTATACGGCGAGTGATGGTGGGTAATTCGGCCTCCGATTGTGATTGCCGGTCGCCGCGATGACTTCATCATATCACTCAACGAAATTGCCGCGCTGTCGTCACTGAGACGGTACTCATGGCCAAAGCAATGGGATAATCCGAAACAGCATCACACGCTTCATAAGAGCACTACACGGCGCGACGCACCCATAAGTTACATGGAGAGAGGTTGTCAGACAACAGAGAGGTCGTCTGCCGAGAGCAGCACAGGCTGCCGGGGTGCTGCGGGCGCGCAGCGGCCGGCAGCGGCTGCCGGGGTGCTGCAGGCGCGCAGCGGCCGGCAGCGGCTGCCGGGGTGCTCCGGCAGCGGCTGCCGGGGGTGCTGCGGCCGCAGCGGCCGGCAGCGGCTGCCGGGGTGCTGCAGGCGCGCAGCAGCCGGCAGCGGCTGCCGGGGTGCTGCGGGCGCGCAGCGGCCGGCAGCGGCTGCCGGGGTGCTGGCAGGCGCGCAGCGGCCGGCATCGGCTGCCGGGGTGCTGCGGGCACGCAGCGGCCGGCAGCGGCTGCCGGGGTGCTGCGGGCGCCCAGCGGCCGGCAGCGGCTGCCGGAGTGTTGCAGGCGACCAGCGGGCCGGCAGCGGCTGCCGGGGTGCTGCGGGCGCGCAGCAGCCGGCAGCGGCTGCCGGGGTGCTGCAGGCGCCCAGCGGCCGGCAGCGGCTGCCGGGGTGCTGCAGGCGCCCAGCGGCCGGCAGCGGCTGTCGTCACTGCCCGAGTGCACTCGGCGTCACCTCCGGCGGCCACAGCCGGCGCCGCTCACCTGTCGACATGAAGAACGGGATCCGGAAGCGGCCGGACAGCACGCGCTCGCGCAGCGCCTGCACGGTGCTGCCCTCGAAGGGCAGCGCGCCGCACACCAGCACGTACAGCACCACTCCCAGGCTCTGCAGGACAGAGGGGCGCGGAGACGCCGTGAACACGCTGCAGAGATGCGGCCGGGGACGGAGAGCACGGCACGATGGGCTGGGCTGTGCGGGAAACAGTCGGCGCAAGACGGCCAAGACGGTGTGCAGACTGGGTGGAAGGACAAGCACAGGACGTGCAGGACCGACCTGAATCGGGCATATCATCGCAACACCTTTGTTAATGCTAACCCAGATCTTCAGAACGATGCCATGAAAAGGCTATGTAATCGGTGCTGTGGCCTCGATATTTGATGTCATGACCAATCAATCATCCATTACCTGAGCAACAATAGTTCACTTCGTATTGATACATCCACTCAGAACTTGAGGGTGTGCGGACGAACAACTATTAAACCAAATGGCCCGAAAATGGGGCACTGAAAATCAATACATCATGGCCGCTTATATAGTCAAAAAATTGCCAATGCAGGTTCAAGAGCAGCCTCCACTTGCTTTCAAGCATAAACGAAGGTTTAGTTTTGTAAACATGTTAGATGTTTGAGTATAGCAAAAGGTCAACGGTATCGCTTTACAGTGCGCAGTACAGTCTATACAGCTTGACACGCTCTCATCCCCGAACAAGCGGATAGTGAGACTCCACCATATCAGCGAATGGGACCACAATCAGAAGGCAGCAAGGTCACCGCTATAGCCTGCGCCATTCTTTCCACATGTAAATGCCCCCACAGAGAAGTGTTTGACCGTGCGTGACGTTCTTTGCACGGCTACAGACGCCATACTGGCCGAGGGCCGGCGGGGGCGGCGCGCCTCTCACCCAGATGTCGATCTCGGGGCCGGTGTACACCTTGCCCTCGAAGACCTCGGGCGCCGCGTACGGCGGTGAGCCACACCAGGTGGTCAGCGCACCACCCCGCTGGAAGAAGGTGCTGAAGCCCCAGTCGGCGATCTTTATCTGACCGCCCGCGTCTATCAAAAGGTTCTCCACCTGCCGGCATAGAGGGCGCAGGTCACCGTCTGCGCCGGCTGCGTGACACGGAACACCAACAGACATATCGCCTCGCCCCGACGCCTCTGCCACCGCGAGGTCACGTCATATTTGCCACATTCGCGGCCATACCGTTATATTGTTTACTTTAGACACGCGACCTCGAAGGTCGGTGGTGTCGCAAGCGTACATGCCGGTTGTGAAGATGGACCCATTGCAACAGCGCACTGCACGGAACTGGACCTCATGAACTGACAACGAGCCTGAGCAAAGAGACCCGTCAACACATATATGTCAAGGCACTATACATGCCTCATCACAAACATCCGATTAAAATCATCGCCGTTCCCGAGCATGAATGATGTTAAAGCTTTGCATTTTGTTAGACAAAAAGCAAAGCTTTTACTGGGTTACGGAACAGCTTGGTGCATTTCTCAAAATGCCTTACCCGATAGGTCACAGCGAGACCGCAGCGCTTGAGAGGAGAGTGAACGTCAGCGTTATGGGTGGGCCTGCCTTTCTATCTGGAGGGCGGGCCCCCGTGACTATCCTCCCCACAGGAGAAGAGCCCACAATGCACCGAAAGCTGAAAAATCATAGCGCTCTCTTCCTTGCAAATCTGCCCAACGGTCCACCGAACGATGCTCTGAGGCCTCGACCCCGGCGGCGCCCAGCGGCATCGGCAAGCTGCCCGTGCAGAGGCGGCCCGCGGCCGAAGCGGAGCCCGCGACAGCAGCGGCGCCCGCGACGGCAGCGGCGCCCGCGGCGGCGGCGATGCCTGCGGCGGCAGCGATGCCCGTGACAGCAGCGGGCGCCCGCGGCGGCAGCGATGCCCGCGACAGCAGCGATGCCCGCGGCGGCAGCGATGCCCGCGGCGGCAGCGATGCCCGCGGCGGCAGCGCGCCCGCGGAGGCAGCCCGCGGCGGCAGCGATGCCCGCGGCGGCAGCGCGCCCGCGGCGGCAGCGATGCCCGCGGCGGCAGCGATGCCCGCGGCGGCAGCGATGCCCGCGGCGGCAGCGATGCCCGCTGCGACAGCGCGCCCGCGGCGGCAGCGATGCCCGCGGCGGCAGCGATGCCCGCGGCGGCAGCGATGCCCGCGGCGGTAGCGATGCCCGCGACAGCCGCGGCGCCCGCGACAGCCGCGGCGCCCACGGCGGCAGCGATGCCCGCGGCGGCAGCGATGCCCGCGGCGGCAGCGCGCCCGCGGCGGCAGCGATGTCCGCGACAGCAGCGATGCCCGCGGCGGCAGCGATGCCCGCGACAGCAGCGATGCCCGCGCGGCAGCGATGCCCGCAGGCAGCGCGCCCGCGGCGGCAGCGATCCCCGCGATAGCAGCTGTGCTCGCGACGGCGTCAGTAAGGGCCGGCGGCGCCAGCGGGGCCGGCAGCGTCAGGGAGTCCGCAGCGTCGTCGGCGGGGTCGGCAGCGTCAGCGGGGCCGGCAGCGTCAGGGGAGTCCGCAGTGTCGGCGGGGTCGGCAGCGTCAGCGGGGCCGGCAGCGTCAGGGGAGTCCGCAGCGTCGGCGGGGTCGGCAGCGTCAGCGGGGTCGGCAGCGTCAGGGGAGTCCGCAGCGTCGGCGGGGCCGGCGACGTCAGCGGGGTCGGCAGCGTCAGCGGGACCGCGGCATCAGCCGGCCTCCCTCCGTGCGCGCGCACCTTAAGATCGCGGTGGACGATGCCGCGCCGGTGGCAGTAGTCGACCGCCGACGCGATCTGCGAGAACTTCTTCTGCGCCTCGTCCTCACGCAGCCGGCCGTTGTGGGATATGTACTCTGCGGGGAGAGGGTGCCCATATATTAGCCGCGTGGCGGTCAGACGCACACGGCCGGGAGCTCAGCCGGGTGCCAGCTGAAACCCGGTGTTTCGCTCCAGCGAGTCAGTCGTCCGCTTGGAGAGACAGCACGCCGCACATGACAGCATCCGTGGCATTGCACAAGCCAAACCACAAGCATCATCTGAAACGCCAGGCGTTTAGGCTAACGGGATAGCGTGGTTCATAAATCACGTGATGATTGGTGATCCTGTCATGCCCACCGCCACAAAGCTTCTAGCAGACCCAGAGCCTGACGCTAAGCATCAGTTTTAAGCCGTCATACGCCGCATGCAGGACAGCTGGTTCCGAAACAGAGCAGTCTAACCGCATCAAGACCACGGTGAACATGGGCCTCGATCATGGCAAGCAGCGCTAGTCAGGGCGCTTATTTCAGGCTGCCTACCTCAAGCCGTTCGGTATGCTTGGTGCCCAAGGGTAGGTAGTACACGCCACCATTACTTAACAACATTATTGCTGGCATCTTAGATTCGTTGGTTCAAGAACTAAATTTTGAAGAACTGAATTGGAACAAGAACTGAACTGAAAAGAACGCAATTCTTTGAAAATGTTTATTAACACAAAATAGCGTAGAACTCCCTGGCTGGATTAACGGCTATTACCTGAAATAATTGCTTCGATTCTCAGCATGGCATGGGCTGATTAAAAAGACAGTGCAATGCCATCGCAGGTACGCCAGTTCGCCTAATCTGGACATCTCGGCCTCGACCAAATCATTCTATTGCAGCGCGCCGGTGGCGACTTTCGACGGGTTACAGCCCCACGATACTAGCTATACGGAATATATATATATATATATATATATATATATATATCACTGATTGAAGGTACGTCTGTCCGCCTTACGGTTGTATAAGTGGAAAGCAGCAGTGATATATGTGTAAATAATATCGGCCTCACAAAATCAGTAAGCCGGGATAAATCAACGGCCGCAATCAGTAAGCCGGGGTGAATCATCGGCCGCAGGTCGAGCCTCTCCCAAAAGGGTTGTGCTTTCCAAGATTACATGGCCGTGGAAGGTCGGCACATAGTTTGGGAAAAGGTCAGACAGTAACATACCGAACTAGAGTCCCAATTTGGTTTGAGTGCGGCTATTTCCACGCTGCCGATGCCGTCCCGCAGACAGCCTCTCAATGCCGCGCTATGTCCAGAATCACCTTGAGCGACAGCACGAGGTCTAATGCTTCTGACGTCGGGGGAACGGTGCCGCTGCACTGTCAAGGCGACGCAGCAGGGGGACTGGAGAGGGGAGGGAACAAGAGTGTGTTTTTGGCTCCTCAAATTTCTGGGAGGCTCCTTTTGCCCAGACTATATGTTTTGCAGCTGCCCACAGATTACCAAAGTTCGCACCAAGGAGCCCCATAGCTGAATTAGAGAGTAAAAAGTCAGGCCCAGAAGACCATTTTCTGCGTCAAGTCAGGCCGTTCTCTGCATCACCAGGCCATTTTTATGTTCCAGAGCATGGATAGCCCATGCTCTAGATCAGGAGGCTCAATTTTGCGTTACAGGGAATGTTTTATAGATAGATAAGACAGTGGCAATAGCCTTATTCCTCGGAGAAATAGGTCATAAACAAAAAGGAGTGCAGTTAGCGGAAAATTTTCGGACAAACCCATCAAAGATTTGAGACTTGACACAGTAGAACACCTGTATTCTATGGGATGCCCAAAGACCACAAACCTGGAGTGCCCCTTAGACCTGTGATATCTGTGTGTGGTGGTCACACAGAAAAACGTTCGTATCTGTTTTAGAAAATACTCAGCCAACTCTTGAGGCTGTTCCCACTCACCTGTGGGACACCAGAGGCTTTTTAAAAAAAGGTTTTTCGTTCGCAGGCAAAGGGTTACCAAATGGCAATATTTTCACCAGTGTAGATGTTTTCAATTTATATGGCAATATACCAATCAATGAGGCTGCCCCTGCCGTAAAAGCTAAATTAGGCCAACATTTCCATGACGATGATGCTTTCAGTCTATCAAAAGACGATTTTTTTATAGACCGAAATTGCCGTCTTTTAGAACAGTGTCTCCAGGATAATGTTGTCTCGTTCGGAGATGACTTCTACAGACAAAAAGTGGGAATAACATTGGGGAACCCATGTCCTCCTCCTCCGGCGATAATATTTTTAGATCAATTTGAAACGAAGGCCCAGGACACCAGCCCATTAAAACCAACTTTCTTAGTTGATTACATCGATGATTATGCTGAGGTATGGACGCATGGACAGCGTGCCCCTGGAAAGTTTTTAGAGTTCATGAACAGCCAGCACCCGAATCTAGCTTTTACGATGGAGAATACAGGGGACGGAAAGGGGGTCCCATATTTAGACACACTGGTGACGGTGGAAAGGAGGAACCACCGCACAACGTTAGAAACGGAGCTCTTTATCAAGCCCACCAGTTCTGGTACGATTCTGCACCGCGAATCTGTGCATCCAAACTTCCAATAAGTACAGCATAATCTGTAACATCTTCCACTAGGCCATAAGCAACTCAAAAGAAGTGAACAGGCAAGAAAGAGCATAAACCAAGTATGGGCTTTGCTGTTGAGCAAGACATTCTCCGTGACTTTTAGGTAGAATGTTAGAAGAAGTGAAAAAGTCTAGAGCACGGGAATGGGTCTAGAGGCGGGAACACGTCCTGTCGGAAGACGGATTCTTAATACCACCTGACATAGATAAGCATTTGGTTTGGGAAATCTAACTGTTAAAAAATCAAACCCGCGCATACTCATGGCTTGGAAGGGCGACAATAAGCTAAAAAGTTTCTGGTGAAATGTTTCATCTCGAAGCCCAAGTTCCCGGGGGCAAAAGATGTCATTTGCGCACTTCTGGGTTTCAAGGGCTTTGTACGCAAGAACACGTGATTTGAAAGCAAGTGTAAACTGCGTGAAAACATGGGAGGGACATGGTATATGTCATGGAGTTCATGCGCCCTATTCGTTTAAGGTATAATGAACACGTGCGGGACGTTAAAAACAAAACAAGGAATATCCCTTTCGGTGACCATTTTTTTGGCAAAACACACAGGTTGAAATCGAGGGAGGTATGAACCCTTTGCCCCTTTCGGAGCCCAAAGTCATTTACAAAACACGGGGCCAACCAGACAGGGAAATAAGTGAATCTATTCTCATAAAAAGTCGGAGATCAAATCTTCACGACATGGCTCGTTATGGCCGATTACGCGAACGTGGTATGTGCCTTTACGTGTGATGTGTGCTAGCTTAATGTCGTTCACATGTGTAAGTGATGCCTGACGGTGGTGTACGATGCATGTTAATTGAAATCGCTTGCATGTATAACTGATCCTGTTTACTTCAACTCACTTGCATGTTTGAATGAAGCGTGATGCGGGGAGCCTATTTGCTTGAATTTCTTTGCATGCACACTTGGAGTTAGAGACTGAGTTAGTCACACTTTTAAACCTCCGCGGTAGAAAAGTGTTTATTAAAAAAATTGCTTCTTATGTTTTTGTTTCCTGTATGCTGCAAGTTTTGAACTGCACGATTTAAATTTATGACTGACTATAGACTAGTTTTGTGCTATTAAAGGAGTGTTTTGGGGCTATCAGGTGACGTTTACGTTATAGAGAACGTAGCAAGTTGCGCTGTTTGCTATGACGTCTTATCGGAAAATGAAAACAAAGCGTTAATAAAGTTATGAGCCGTCCACTTTCGAAAGAAATCTTGAAATGTGTCAACCTTCGCTTCAACATGACTGTTCGATGAAACAGCTGCAAAGACCTGGCGATCGACATCAGCCGACTGAACCGGTGGCGGCAACCGTCCGACCATACCAAGGACACTCGCCGTGTCGAACACGCCTAATGGGAGTGATGCACCTGCACCCCGCCTTGCTGCAATCAACCGGGATTTACACGGCAGACATTATTAGTCGCACAAATCAACCCGCACTCTTCGCTCCCGCGGTCATACACGCCCAACAACGTGTGAAGCCACATATCGTCGATTCTGCGTCGACTACCGGAACCTGGTTTCGACGATCGACGCCAAACCAAATTTTACTGATGCCGAACGACATCTTTCGCCGAGACGAGAAACCGGAAGGTAGCGTAATTTTAACGTATTTGGCGCTAGCCTTTCCCGCTCGTCCTCAACAGTCTCAATTTGCGAAACCCGTTACTATGGTAGAGTCCTAACGACCGCGACACGCGAAAGATTCATTACCAGATTGTGCTCCGGATCAGGTCTGGGGCTTAGGAACCATTTACCAAGCAAACACAGGGCCGAGATTCACGATTTACATTGGTCGGGGCCCCGAAGTCAATGTAGCTCCCGTATCAGCCAGGGGACCACAGTGCTTAACAACGGTCCGGTACTGACAAGGCGCTAGAGTCGGCCTGAGACAGTGCTCGCGGGGCGTGCAGAAGAGCCAATGGGCCCCTCGGAACCGATAATAAGTGCCCGATTGGAGGACACGAAAGCAGGGCCGGGCCATCAAATGTCAGATACAGGGCTTCTTGCACCGGTTGGGGACACCCTGGGACAATGCGGGTCTCTATTTTGGTCACAGACCGCCAACACCGAGAGATCGGCTCCGCGTCGGTCTGATCCCTGAGGGGCCCATTTGCTTAGCAGGGACAAGGAGGGGACACAATGTTTGCATTGGTCGGCACCTTTGAAGCAATGAGTGATCCTTTGTTGGTCAGAGACCCACAGTGCCTGAACGAGCACCCAATGTTAGCAAGGGGCCTCGAGTCGGCCATCGCGACATCCGTCGGACACGGACTGGGACGGGACCCGGAAAGCCAGGGGTCCCTGCGTTGGTTGAGGCCCTCTGACTGCGAACGTGGCGATGGGAGTTAACGATGTGAGTCCACAACGCGATAATGGAAGGCCCTTTGTCAGGCAGGGCACCGATACCCAACGGAGGGCTCTCCATCCCATTTCAGTCAGGAGCCCGTTGTGCCGAACGATTCCGAG